TTTATAGTAAAATAAACGTATTATATATTAAGTCAATAAAAACAAATATTCGTTTACTTACAACCGGTACTTCCGCCGCAGTGCTGCATCGCGCTACAACTGTCGCGGGTCAAGTGAAAGGGCAATATCAGTTATTTTTCCTTGTCGCGACTACTCTAAGCGCCAATCGGTCTCGTTAGTCGTTTGTTCCCCTATTAAATAAAACATTCAACCGAAATAATCGAAGTGACTTCGTTCCATAACATATATCTCCGTCTATCGGATGAATTCCAATAACCTCTCAGACACAAATCAAACGATGAAAATTAAATATCTCATCTAACGGTATAAACATATTCTATAAAATAGGAGTATTGCTGTTGTAAATAGTCGGTTTTCACGTTTGACGGATTTTAAGCCATCACAATTGTTTACAACAAGATCTGAATGAAGACGGGTTTGTAGGTTAGGTCATCGCGTGTCGATTATATTTTGATAAGAAAGTTGTGACCGACACACAATGTCCACAAGGTTTGCTACAGTTGTTAGTCTTAAGTCGAAAACGCATGCTTAACGTTGCGAAACGACAGTTAAAGTTTTCGTCTAGACCGCAATGTTAATTAATACTCGAGACTTACGCAACAAACTAGGACATGGTAATTTTCTAAATTGCGAACACGCTTTACCACACGAATACCTTAAAGTTGAATCTCAGAACTAAACAATGATTTTCACATATGTACGAAAATCGGATTTAATATTATTGCTGAAAATATCACACACACGTGCATAGTTATCAGACCGTGGCCGATTTGAAAAATATATATATATATTTTTTTTTAAGTACCACCTATGGATTATTATCGTGTCGCGCCCTCTGCATTCCTCCAAATCAATAAACTTGCTTCTCCTCGGTTCTCCACGTCCCGTGTTAACTTCCGGTCGCCGCCGCCATCGCATTTCCGTCACTCGCTCGTCATGCAGACCCGTTTTCGCTCTCCTCCCTATAACGCATATCCTATCCCTCCCTGCCACCACTCTTCGCGTCCCGTCCATTAAAATATAAAAAAAAAAACCACAGGACGTGTTTCTCGGCAAAGTGTTTTTTATGGTAAACGTCGATTTAACAATCATATTTGGGACAACGGGGGCGCTATTATTGATCGGAATCCCGTACCGTGTACTATACATATTATATGATATATTAATGTATCAAGTTCTGAGAAATTATTTGTACGCATTTTTTTCTCTATTGAATTTTGGTAGTAAGATATTATCATATCGTTGATAGATTTTGCCTTCCAACAAATAAAATTCAAAATACCTAAAGGAAATATCCGAAAAATCGACTAGACCCATAACCTAATATGACCATAATTATTCATGCTATGATAATTAAATATCAAAATATTATTATTCATCATGCAAACTAATGGGGATAAAAACGAGCAACGTTCAACTAAACTAGACACGCCTAAACATTGTTTTAATTTCTCAAAACCATTTTCTACCGTATCAAGTATTACGCTTGATCAGTGTACGGTTATTGAGCGAACACACTATTCCTCTACTTAAAGTAGTTTACGGTTGGACTTAACTTTATACAATTATCCCTGATCATTCGACTGTACAAATACCGTAAAGTTTGTGCGGTCCGAATGGAAAAAGTTTTAGAGTGTTCTTTTTGTCGCCGTTTCCTTGCCGTCTTACCGAATCAAAACTATAAACTGCTATTCAAACCGACCGTATTATTCCAAGTAAACGACCACCCGGTTGCTACGTCCTATTTTCGCGCACGTGTGTGTTGGGTATGTAAAACCGAGAGAACAATTTTAAAAAATAAGGACTACGGAATACGGTTTGTAATCTTGGGAAGAACTTGGAAATAAAAAACAATAACCGAGCGAATCAGTCGCATGGCCGTACAGGGAATTCTTTCCACGTGAATATTAGATGACGGCCGTTCGTTATTTTATCCTATCTCGACCGTGTATTATTATTATATTGTTATCATCATCTCGGCGGCTTCACTTAGAATAATGAATTTCCTAGCGCATCGCTGCCGCCCTCGTGACCCTCACGGCAGTGGTAACACGCCATTTACCTTATAATAATATAGAAGGTATATAAATCACTATATACCTACCGAACACAGAGGTAGACGTGCGCTAAGGGGCGTTGCGGGTTTTCCTCCCTTTAGTTTTTCCGTCGGAATTGATTTTTCCAAAAGAGCTCGTGTGAGGGCGGCGCAAGTATTGAGGTTTTACATTATTTTTTGCAAATAATCAAAAACCAAATTCGTATCTTATCCAAAACGTTTGAGCGAGTCAAAGTAACAAAATACATTATGCTAATTTCGTGCAAATAACAGCAACCGTTACAGCCGCAATCACGATGATTTTTTAAAATTACATTAATAATAGTTTGTGCATCGTCATATTGTACATAATATATCATTACACAGTATTTAATCCGTTTAAGTATCCCTGCGATTCCCCTGCAACTCTAATTGAGCGTCATCAGTCGCCGCCAAAAAAGTATTGTGCTAAAGTTAAAGTACGTAAGAGTTTATTAAATTAAGCGACGAGGAATAAAATTCAAAAGAGGTGATGTATGACTGTAACTGTATAATATGTGTTTTATGACTTTTGAAATTATTTTGAACTATTGAGAAAAAGTTATTTTAGAATAATTGTTTTTATTTTGCTCTCAAAATCACTTGTACCCTTAAGCACTTACCAATACCGTAAAACAGAGAAAGACTTGTTGGTAATTAAATAACTTAAATCTTTTCCTTGACAAAGATTACTATATTTTTTACTAAAGAAATATTGTATTAAAGTTTGTAATTTGTATTTTGAGTTTATAGTATAATTTTGATACGTAATACGCTTTTTTTGATTTGAAATGTAAATTGTTACATTAAAACGGTAAAAAAAAATGTTGACCCCAGTTTAAATTATTAGATACACAATAATATGTCTTTATTATGACCTTTACGAATTGTATAGGTATTAAGTAAATATAATACCAATGAGATATGTGTGTATTAGCGTCATTGTTTACCGTATTATGCAGGAATATGGCAACCTGTGTTATTAACTTAATGGCAAAGCTTAAAATAATATAGGCATATCACTAAGTATTAAAACAGACAAGGTTATTAAAACTATATATTGGAAGTAGGGAGACTACGAGTGAAAACCAATAAAAACATACTGTATTTCACAGCACTTTGTTTTCAAATGGAGCACGATAAAAAAAATTTTAAGTTTAATTTCACTGGGAATATGTATGGGTTAAACTTAAACCCGTACTTATACACGGTAAATAGTAAAAATCTATGCAATACACGCGTTAAAGCTGTAAGATATTTGTTTAACGACCAAAAAATGTGTGTTTTTTTTATTAATAATAAAACTTTATTAATTCCCCAGCCGTTTCGACAGTACAATTTCAATACATTTTTTTCTACACATATTTCATCTTCAACAATTTTTTATAATAATTTAATTTTTCAAAATATATGTTTGTAAAATCAATCAGTTTTAAAATCAATTGAAGAATATTTGGCAGGCTTGCAGTCTCCTTCGTAATCTACAATAATAGTATTCATGACCTTCGTTAAATTATGCAAATACGAATAACCGACTCGAGTCTTTTCGATGATAATTTAAATCACATAACGTCGAGTTAAAGTGGAATTGTCGATGACTTTGAATGAATCGTATGGAATTCAAACGGCTTGTGACAAATTACTCGATGAAAATGTCATGAGTAATAATGCATATCGACCCGAGGGCGGGACGAATATGATTTGTATAAATAACAACACGCCATTACAAACACAAGCTGTATGTAGGAAGTACGTGAAAAGGGAGCCGGTCAATAGCGTCGGTTCAACAAGTGGAGAACCGCGGGGTATAGATAATTATACGTCTGGTTGTATATCATTATCCCTAAAGACGGACAATAATCGTCGGGCGGAGTGTGCAAGCGCGTTAAACGGTTCATATTGCATCTTAACAAGACATACAAAACTGCTCTATAATAAATGTAGAAGGTCAGTGCAGCCATTTCGTCGACAGCCTCTCTAAATTATAACAATACAATACGGACCTAGGGACACCTTCCTTTAACTTGGCTTCGACAAACACAAATCAAATTTATGGTCGACTTTTATGGGTTTAAGGCCTATTGAACAATTTAATACTATTTGGCTTGAAAGGTTTTGATTCAACAGAGTTTATAAGTAAATTATCGTATAAATATAAGTGCCGAACCACATTGTGTCATCTGTTTTAATATTAATCCGCATTAAGGATATTACTTATTAGGGTAGATAGGGTACAGCCGAACTCTGCTAACGGTTGGTTGGATTTAACTTTAAACGCCACTAGAAAATATTGTATACTGATAAACAGTATCATAGTTATATGTGGTTGATAAATAATATCATAGTTGACATGTGCACGTGCGGACAAAATAAGTTCATGTTTGTTTACTATAACTCGTTAAACGTTTTCCGTTTGCTTTACCCTAAAACTCGTAATCAATATAAGATAGCTAAAAAGAATAAGTCAAGAAAAAAAAAGTCGTTAGTGTTCATTTGAGTATGAAAGTCGTTAGAAATATAATTGAAAAGAAGTTGAAACAAACTAACATATGACTCGGGTTTGGACCAGAAAATGTATGACGCTAATGGCTTGTCGATTTTTATTAGGTTACGTGCAGTCGTTAATTTCTATTGACTAAATGCAAATCGAGTTGATCCGGTATTAGAATGCATTAAAACTTGTAGTTTTTATAGCTTAATGCTAATTATTTCGGTTGTATAGTTCAATTTTATTCTGGGACTAAAAACTGCATATAAAACTAAATGCATTATTAATAATCAACGGCTGCATATAAACATGGTACCTAAATAGTAAATATAGAATATTATAATTTACACCCAATCTCATTTAATATTGTAGTTATGATGCTTATCTAACCTGATCGACTGTTTTTATTTGTTACAGAAAATCAATCGTGTTGAATATTCAGAGTCGTCGCACGAACAGAAGGAGCGATCCGTAAAAGAGGAGGAGGAGGAGGAGGCGGCGGCGGAGGAGGAGAAAGTAGGGGGAGAACCCGAACAAAAGCAGCACGGGCAACAAGACGAAGTTGACGTTTTTGGTGTTCCGTCGTTGTGGACTTATCAGGCTGACGTACCGGAACATCAGGATCACAAGGATCAGAGTGTTCAACGCTCCTGGCCGGCTGACGGTCACGCTGAAAATCAAGGCGGCCGCACGCTCGTCTCGGAGAAGAGCGGTCGCCCGAAGACGCGGTTAGGCGATTCGTACTCGGCGCGCAATCCGGTGGCCTACACGCCACCGCAAGCCAACTACAGCGGCAGCAGGCGGCGGCCTTTACCGTTCACCGACACCGAATACGGCGACAGCACGGCCGACATGCTACAACAGTACCAGCAGCAGCCGGACTACACGCCGTACGGCGGCATGGGAGGCTACGGCGCCCAGCCAAACTCCGGTTACTTCAACTACGCCGGTTCCGAGTCGTCATGGTTCAATTCGCCGTCGGCCGGCGATCAATCGCAAATGGTGAGTGGTGACATATATATAAGACTAGTTAGGTATCGACTCAAAGGCACCCGGCTGTACCTCCCTTTTGAAAGTGATCTCGCTGGTTCAAAAACTTTTGGACGAGCGCGACAAAGGCATAGCTAATTCGACAAAGATAATTTGGGAGGGACCCAACGAAACACATACGGGGTCAATAGTGTATTATTATCGTCGCGTGTTGTGTGCCCAACGGTAATCATATATGTGTAATAATATAGAACGTAATTTATTGCTTATTCACATGGCCTTGTTCGTTTATAATTTCATAACTGTGTGGACACATTGATAACCACCTACAACATGTCTTCTTTGAATTTTGGTTAGAACAAAATACATAATATAGATGTATTCAATGACGAACCCTCTGCTATGTGACCCATTTTCGAGCGACTTGCGCTTACCGTTTTCCGTCACACCGTTATAAATAGTTACTTTGATTTTGCAGCACGGCGGTCTATCGCACAACGCCTGCAGCATTGGAGATAACGGCGGGCACTATATGAACCACGGTTACCACCATTCTCCGACAACGGGTTTGTATAATAATCACGTAAAAGTGAACGAAGGGTTTTTTGATAGTGAATTTTTATCCGAAGGAGCGACAGGCACGTCTTCGGTTGAATCATTCGCTTCCACAGGCGGCCATGGGGCGGCAGCGTCCCAACAGCCCGAAATGGACCCCATGGCGGACTTCCTAAACCACCAGAACATAGACGAAAACGACAAGATCAAGGTGAGCTATATTCTAACCGTTTTTGTTCCCGCTTCCTTTTCCGTTCATTTTTACTCCCGACAGATATCTAGGTTCCCTTTGAATCCGTCCGATCCGACCGTGTCCTGACCTTGTCCACCGTGCTCTATTGTCGTCATTAACCGTTATATACCGTGATGTTTAGGAGGAGTCGATCGACTGGCTCTCGACCATTATTAACGATGACGGGACCGATCACCGACCCGACGACGTCAAACTGGCAGTCGGTGAGCTGCCCGCACCCGCCGCCAAAAGCCAAGAGTCCAACGGTCGGTTACCCAATTTTCACCAGGCGTTCGGGTCCACCGAGATCGGTAGGTTCTCCCAACACGAGTATTACGAACCACCCAAAGACGCACCGGCCATTGGCGGCGAGTGCGGTCCTCCGCAACCGGTCGTCTCGCAGCAGTCGGACGAACCTGTCGCGCCGCAGCCGCCAATGTCGTACGAACTGCCCAGGCAACCGAGCCGGCGGGGTCGTGGACAACGCGGTGGCGGCCAACACAGACGTAACAAAAACTCCAGAACGTCGGTGGCCGCCGCAGCCGCTGCCGCGGCCGCACAACAGTACGTCGGCTACGACATGGCCGCTCGGCACCAGTCGCCGTACTCCCATCAAGACCCGTACAACGGCCGGAGTCACCACCAACAGCGGTACCCGGATCAACAGTACCACCAACACCATCATCAACAGCAACATCCGGCCGCTTACCAGAGTCACGAGTACTACCGACAGCAGCAGCAGCAACAGCAACAGCATCAGCAACAACACCAACAGCATCAGCAGCAACAACAGTACGACCGGATGCACCATTATCAGCCGCCAACCGCGGCGGCCGCTTCCGGTAACCAGTACTACGGCCAACGGGAACAGTACGCAGCCGGTTACAACCGGTTTCACTCGTGCTGTTCCACCGAAAACATAGCCAGACCCAACCATCAAAGCTACGGTGGCGGCGGGGGAGGTGGCGGCCCTGGCCCCGGCCAGTACTACGGCGAGTACAACGCGTACAACCAGTGGTGAATCTGCACCCACCTAAAACCTTCAGCCAACCATGTCGAATATTGTAACGTGTATGTATATATTATATAAGTACAACAGCAACGCGGAAAAAATATATCATACATCAACTGTGATACATATGTAATATTTATTTATGCATAATATTTATAAACAAATATTATGTGTACGGAACGCCAAGTTGATGAATATTATGTACAACAATGATTGAAAACAAAACCAGAACACAAGATTCGCCGAGAGGAATATCAACATTTCTTTTTTCCCGGACACATAATATTATACTCAACGAGTCAATTAAATTAAAACGCAAATTCCCGATATATACTCATTGTTTTTTGTTTTTTTTAATAGCTTATGATCGCTCGTCGCGTTGTATGTGTGTATAGTTTTTCGAAGAAACGACAGCAAGACTTCAAAAAATAATTAAGACAATTTTTGTACGCGTTGCCGCCGCTTGTTATGCTGTCCAAAAAAAAAAAAACTGGATTCTATTCGACTACTCAGACGGCAATTTAAGATCTCTACAGAAGCTCTAAGTCCTCGAAATGCTGCAAGACCGTGCAATACGTTATTTGGGTTCAGAAAGGCGCCACGTTCTCGACTGTTAAGGCGTTCAAAAAAAAAAAAAACAGAAAAAAGCGTACAATATTGTTCGAGATGCCCGTAAACGCGACCGGTTTAATTGTTTATTATATATATTGTGATGACTAATATTATTCGTTGCTATACTATATATAGTATATAAGTCCTTGTGCCTTATTAATTAACGGTTAATATTACGGTAAATCATACACCAGTATAAAATAAAATTTATTGAAATTTACTATTAATAATAATGATATCTATATTGTATATAGAGTCGACTTACACGCGACAAGCAGTACTAGATGTGACACGGCGTAAAGACCGTTTTTTTTTTTTATTATAATCATATTATTTTGTTTTGGTCCGGCGGGTAGTCGTTTTGTTATTGTTTTTTTAATTTTATTATTAATATTTTATGTTTTCCAATTTATTAATTAATAATCTCGCTTTATCTCGGGTTTGTTTTTTTTTTAATTTAAAAATAATGTTATAAAGAATTTAAAAACAAAAATTGTTTTTCTTTTTTAGTTTAATTTAAATTTATTATTTTTATAGTATATAATGATCGAATGATTTATCTTGGTCTAAGTGTTATATAGGAAAACGCATACCGCGCGGTTTATTATCCTACTAATTTATATTATTGTTCTCCCATTAGTTTCATAATACATTACCAATATACATACTTTTATATTACTATTATTATTATTTAAGAGTAGTCTTCCTGATGTCATTCAAGTCGTTGTGGTCCCGGTCGGACGATTGGTTCTTAGAGCTTCCCCCACCCTCCCCCCCCGGCGTTACCTCACTTAACATTTAAATTTGGCCCAGTTTCGCGAGACGATTTTACATTTATTACGAAAAAAACCAATATATGACAAGCTCAACCACGGCATACAGTACGGACCAATAGTGGATTATTGTAAAATAAACTTAATACAATTTTACAAAACCACATACATACACTTTTAATTAATATACAAAACAACACAGAATTATAAAAAATAATTTATTCGACTGCAAGTTAGTTTATTTTAATTGCGTAAACCCGCAAAAACCCCGTATATATATATATAGGTATTCTATTGTCTTAAGCGGGGTCGGACGATTTAATTTTTAATTAAATTTCAACGATAACTATATTATACACATAATATAATAATAATAATATTAAAACAATGAAAACCCAAAGATATATTAAATTTTTTTTTCTTCACGGGAACACTAATAACAAAAATTTTTCATTGTAGCGTTCTAATAAAATTCAAGTGTGCATGCGTGTGAAAAAATAAAACATTATATAATTCGAAATCCGAGAAAATAATAATCGTCGTTCTATGAGAAATAAAAAAATTTATATTATATTATATTATTATTATAAAATTGTATTTTATCATATTAATAATTATTATCATTGTAAATATTACACGACGCCTACCTTTTTATCATTATACATTATTATATGTTAAGTTATATTTTATCTTTAGTCAAAATGTAAACATTGTGTGCGATCCCAGGACGAAAAAATATAAAAACAAAAAAACACCCGAGTACACCATGAGGATCCGAGGGAGGGCAGGGGGGTAAGGTCGAGGGACGCGTGACGAATTTTGAGTTGAGGTCGTATTATATTATTATTGTTATATTATGTTGTCCGTGCGGGTGATTTCCATACAAGTATACATACTTACCATATATTGTTGTTATTGGCCGCCTCTCTTGTGGACGGGATACCTACATATAAGCATCCGCGTTGACGTCCCCAATAGTCAAGTACTGTTAAACACAAACATCACCGAGCTCCAGAGCGAATTATGTAGAGAAGAATGGGGTGGGTGTGGTGGGAAGAGAGGCGATTGGACTTGAATATTTGTCCGGGTCTTTTTTCTTTTCTTTTTTTTTTTTTTGTCTACCTTATACTTATATCTTCCTTTCTTTCACATTAAAAATGCCCGATTTTCTTTTCCATTGGGATCCATTACGTGTAAGTTCCTGAACGCCAAATATAAAAATACACATAAATTTATATTGTTATATTATTATTATTATTATTATAACGACGCGTGTCGACCAAAGATATTAAATATTACATAATACAAATATATATATATATATACATATATACTTATATTAAATTATTATAATTATTAATTATTATTATTATTCTGTGTTTGTGTACACACGACCGGCGTTTTTGCCTTATCAAGGCCAAAACCGCAGGAACTAAACGTACAGCGTTGTCCCACGAGTATTTGCATACGAAAAATATTTTAAGTATTCACACAATATTACATTTTCACTTGAAGAAAATACAATGTAAGCCCGTAAATTATAGTTTGCTAATACAATAGCAGCTGTAAACGGACATAGCAATTTCGTTTCACCCAAAAGATAGCACGGCAATAGGTAAATGCTCGTGGGACACCCTGTATGATACCGGGTACTCCGTGACTCGTCGATAAGGTTATTATTGAATTATAGACTGTATTATACCCCGATATTATGTACAATATTGTAATGACCGTTATTGAGGTATTGTCCGTTCCTCCCGTCGTGTGCTGCGTGCACAGAGTTATTCAAAATGATACACAACATCGGATTTCATCGTTGGAAAGCACCCGATTTACATCAGTTCTAATCTAGTTTATCAGATCAATCGTTTCGAATAACTCTGTACATTAGCTTATAATTTTTATATCATTATTATTATTATTATCCTAGTGTTGTTAACAATACAACTAACATCGTTATTGTTATGTTGATTGATTTGTCCCATCGCTGTGCATTATCGTGTAGGTAGTTCAATTCTATTTAATATGATAATGATATTATAATTTATCGACTTATTTTAGTGTTTTTTTTTTTTTTTTTTTTTATGTTATTTTTCAGACGATTCTGCTGTAAGCAAAGAAATAAAAACTGACAAGTTATACACACATATAAATGTTTATGATAATTTAAACGGATATAAACATTATTATTATTGTAAAAACAATTAACGTTGTATTAAAATGTACCCAAGACAGAAAACGTAAATATACATATTAAATATTATAGAGGAACAAAAACCTGTTAATGGCTAAATATTTTTTATTTGAAAATCGAAATAATTCGGGATGGTTTTCGAGTAACGATATATTTGTAAAATATGATAAGCTACATATAGATTGATAATTATGATAACCCTCATTACTGACTTTTGTAAAAGACAAACATAAAAAATAAACTTTATGTTATTGTAAACGACTTTTTAATTTATTTTTAATTGGTTTCCACTTTCCTTAGTATTTAATAGGGACATTGATGTGTTTAACCAGCCTATTGTTTGGTGAATGAGAGTCGTCTTGCAGTTATATTCGACCAAAGGACAATGAAAACGGTTGGAGGATAAGCAGGTTTAAGACAGAATTGATAAAGATGTCACGAGTGTAATGCAGAATGATCGAATGTTGTGGAAAGCGACAACATTAGTGTTGACACAATGTGCCATTTAAAATTAAAAGAACATTTCAAAAGTGGCTTAAATAAGAATGTTGAAATGGTCGTGTGCCTAAGTTAGACAGAACTAGAGATGAATTTTTAAGACATTATTATACATAGTTCTTGAGTCGCGCCTAGGAAAAATGAGGTAAGATAAAAGTGGATTGAAGTGGCCTAGTATATTAAAAAAGGAGATTAAATGAGTAAGATAACTTGGTGTAGAAGGACTACAGATAGTAACTATAATATCTTGTACTTGTGCTATTTAAACAATTAAATTTAGACACATTTATTATGTGTATATTGTCTTATACGCCTTGTTGATATTATAGTTAAACAATTGCTGCCAAGTGCAAATAACTATGGAATAGCAATGTACGAGCTCAACGTTCAGCTAAGCTCATCTCACTTCATTGATTGTTATAGCATTACCTCAGTCCTCAGCTACTTAAAGAACTTCGAATTCACTTGAAATACGACAACAGCCAGGTATTCAGGTGCGCAAGTATCTAATGAATAGGTGCGCAGTGTAAGACATCTATTGTTTCAAAAATCAGTCAATTTTGTTTGATTACTTCATTACTTTGTAGATAAAAATATGTAGATTAAATTTAATTTGACGGATCTCTTAATTAGTTTAATTATTTATAAAGTATCAAATACGTATAATTAGTACTGATACTACAAAACTTTGGAATTGAAATTTGACTTTTTTTTCTCTTCTGTAAAACCTTATAATAACAGCGTCTCGTATAACGTCCTCTTAAGGCCCATAAATAACGACATTTTTATTAACGGTTAAAATATATATATCAATAAATGATGGAAAGTTTTTAGACCGCATTTCTGCATATTTCATAGTATCGTTTTCCCCTCAAAGCTATTTTTAAGTCAATCAGTTTTAAATTATTATTTTTTTTAAATACACGTTCGCACAATTCATTTTTACGCACTCAACAACTACTTTAATTTTTTAAATTATGTTTTACAAAAAAAAAAACATCAGTTTATCAGAAAAAAATTTAAAGTGTATATAATAGAAGTCCATGACAAAACTGTGAAATTTTACTATGGATGTATCTGATAAACGAACAAATATTTATTAGGTACACCACTAATTAGGTACAGCTTATAGTTGTTTAATTTAAAAATAAATAATAAATAATAGTTATTACTGTTTACTTAAAAATGTCTAAGTCTACTGTTTGATACAACTTGATGGATTATTCGGGTTTCGATTTTTTTTTATCCATATTAAATAATAAAAACTTACACAACGTGTAAATTTTTCCTAAATGTACAACGTTTATTTAAAATAATATTATTATTTAGCTTGGAAAAAAAAATATTATAATTAAAAAAGGCCGGATAATTCTTCAAATCTGGATAGTTCTCATTACTACAACTGTCTGTAATTTGTTAACATAAGTCGTGACGTTGTTTTTTATACTATTAAATCAAGGCTCTGCCACTGGTATCTGTTGAACTGCACTTATTATTTACAAGTAAAATTAAAAGAAAAAACACTCAAATGATAACGCATTGGCTCTAGTATTTTTTTTAAGCCAAAAAGTAAACTAAATCCAACTAATGCGTTGTATTCGTACATAATATGACCTGTAATAAGATCAATATTATACGTAATACCTACTAGAATTTCCGAGAATTACTTACTCACTTACTTACTACGTCAGTAATGCGATTTTCAAAAACTACCGAAGACTCCCACAGCGATAACTTCCCTTGGGGTTTTCCGACGTAAGTGCGGTGGACATACTTTAACCCTAGAGTAGTTCCCCGTAAATCTAAACTTGAATCTAAAGCCAGACCATAAATAATTAAATAGACGAGAATAGGATTAAGCTATTTTTCATTAATATTTCTAGTTCCTGTTAAAAAAACTAATAAATGTTATTACAGTATAGCTGTTTATCTGTAATAAAACGTCAACAACTATATCTAAAACACAGCGTAACATAATATTTTATTCGAAATACGAACAGGGGGTGTCGATGATGTTAACAATGTTTTAAATAAAAACAAGAAGCCTAGGATGTAGGAGACTGAGTCGCAAACGCAGTTTACCAAAAATATTTGATCAGCAAATTCGTTTTAATTTCTCATGTTTTACCACAGTGTTGTGAAGCCGTCGGAGTGAATTGTGCAATAGCCAATTTGTATTGGATATTATTCGTTTCAACAAGTCGTCGTTATAGTTTGCCTAGTATACCCAAGCGGCGCTATAGCCTATAATGCAAATAATCGCTTTTTATATTCACTCAAACCCATCAACGAGTAGCTATATTTAACTATCGTTTCCATTATAAATTCAATTAACAATCCGTACCGCTGGTGAATTACAATTAGGTACGTTCTTCGAAAACTGTTTATTATTGTTGTTGTTATTATGCCGTTGGAATAATGTCGACACCTTTGCCACGGCCGAGTGCTGATGCGCATTATGTTGTTGTTGTCAAAATGCGTCCTTGAGAGTCGAAACAAGATTGCAGGCGCCAAGTCTGTTGTGGAAATCAATTTGCCGCCTACACCGGGCTGGCGAGAGTACGCGGTAGTCACTCCCCTATTATGACAGGGGTAGAGGGTAAAGGGTAGTAGAGTCGCTTTTGCGTACATTGACTTTGGAGACTTTGACCTGAAAGCACAAAGTTCTGGTAAACGCGTAGGTGCTGCACCTCTAGCATAAAATCCAACCCACAATCGATTATTACCTAGTACCTTTTCTACCTGAAAATGGTATTATCGTGATAAATAGTCGTATTGTAAATTTATTATTCAATTTTTAGTAGTGCCAAAAGTAGTCAAAACCTTAAATCAAGTACCCAACGTAATGTCAACGAAACGGCTATCCTATCTTCTGAGGGCAGTATGAATAGCATCAAACAATAGGTTTACAATTATTATTGAGATTTTAGTAAGAGTGATAAGAAATGCATTTCAAAGTCTTATGTTAGATCTAATTCTATTTAGTCTTTGCCTGTTGTTTTTTAACCCTTCCTTTTAAGTTCGCTTGGAACGAATGTATTTTATACACGAGATAAATTAATATGTTTTTTTTTAATAAATGTTACAAAGCTTGTCTAAATTAAACAAGTATTCAAGAAATCATAAAAAAATGAACTAAGGATAATTTTTATCTACAACGTAAACGGAAACAGATGAATTTACCGATGTATACCTTTATATTATACCGAACGTAAACCTTCAGTAAAAAATTGTTGTTCCAACTTTACCTTAGTAAAGATAGTATAATTACCTTCATCGGACCTAGATGTCCTTTCAATTAAAGATGATCAAGTTCTGACCAACATTGGTCATCCGCCAACCCACTTATCAATCGAGTGAATCCATCGAGCAATGTGGAAGAAAACCAAAATAGTTATTGTCTTAGTTTACGACCCATAGGTAAACGAATATGCCTCGGCAATAAAATACTTAAAAATAACTAGCACTTATTTTATCAAATACCTATATAAATAATTCTAAATTCTTAAAAAATGATCTTAAACATTACAAGAATTAATTTAATTATTAATTATAATAAATACTAATTATTTTTAAAATATTAATGGCTAGGTGTACACAGCATTTGGGTCGTTTATTGAAAAAGTCATGTTATTCCAAATTTGTAAAATGTAGGTACAAATTTTTGCTTAATGGAGTCACATTTAGTCATATATTTTATTATAAAAGAGAAGCAATTCCAAAAAATGCAAAAATAAATAAAAAATATAAAACACTGAATGAATACTTGTATTGTTTTTAATACACATTAATTTTCAAAAACGTTGTTATTTTAAAATTCAATTACAACGAGATAATTCACTTTTACAATGAACGGCTCATTGTGCTACTATGTTTAATGTCGAATTGGCTACATCAAAGTATCAACGTTCAAATGTCTTATTTTGGTATATTATAGTTTATAGATACATCTAAAATGTATAAACTATACAATATTACTACATAATAAATACTTAACCTTTTTTTAAATTTAGTAATAAGTTGTTAGCTAAAGGTGGATAGGATTTAAAGGTAAAAGAAGAAGTAAACATTATAAATACAGACATGGAATGAATAAAGCAAAAATAAACTCCATTTTTAGCATCAACAGTTTTTTTTTAGATTCTACATGCTTTTATTAGCAAATACCTATAGTTTAATTTAACCTATTTTAAAGGTTTATTACTCAAAACAAAAAAAATGAATATCTTCTAAATTATTGTAATAAGATAAATTAAAATAGTTACTACATTTAAAAAAATGTTCATTAACTTTCGGATTGTAATACTAATTACAGAGTAACGTGATGAAAGATGATGTAATAATAAAGAAATCTCACATAAATTATTACAAGATTACAAAATTATTGGACTCCAACTGGTATAAGAACAGCCAACAAGATTAGATATATGAACAGATATATTTATAAACACAACCAATGACAATCAACAAGTTCTTAAAATCTCTTTAGGCAAATGCTTAAAACTTAAAGCATGAAATTCAATTAATAGTACTTATAATTTATTATTTAAAACATACGTGTTTGTTGCAATAAATAATAATTAATGGGTCTCTATCTTGGTATTTATTAAGTGGTTGAAGATCAGGTGACCAAATTGACAGTATATTAATTAAAACTTTTTTTTTTTATTATTATTACTTTTGCTCGTACGTTATTACCCTAATTTATATATTCGAGTATTTATCATCTTACGTTTCCCAAAAAACAAAGTATATAAGGTTTATAGTAGTTAATTTAGCAAAAGCCATCAGTATGATAAAAACCAATGCTCCAATTTGAAATTAGTTTTAAAATTATCATAAAATTGTGAAGTATCTTTTGTTTCACATTTTCCAAAATGTATGTTAATTGTATAATGTTTTTGTAATTAAAATTTTTTTTTTTTAAACTAAATATACTAATTAATAGAAAATTTATATTGAAAATGTCGAAGGTAGGATCAACAGCATCATTTTCAAAATTAAGACTTGGCTACGTATTAGGAGTACTCATGGCTTGCATATAGTGTACTTCGAGTGCCTTAAATCTATTCAAAATAAAATTATGTAAAATATATTTTACGTATAAAATGTAATTCAAGTCCTGCATATAAAAGAAATAATAATACAATATTATATGCCTCGATGATTAATGTGTACAATATTATATACATATTACAACGAAAGTTGAAAACTTAAATGTTTATTCAGAAAGTAGAACATTTTTTGTAATGAAATTTCTCTGTAATTAAATCGTTCAGTCACAATACAAAAATTCTTTATACTAAAAGGTTATCAACTACTAAAGTTATAACAAATACAATACATTTTTGTAAACAAACCACACATAACATGATTTCCGATTCATATAACAATTGACAGATGAAATAATGTTTGAATAATACTTTAATTGGTCTTTGAAGAGTTATAAAAATAAAAAGACACCTAAAATTTGCAAATGTAATGTTTGTGCATACGTTTTAAAATGATCCATAAATGCAACTAGTCAGTACCAAAGTATTTTTGTCCAAAGTGGTTGGGTGCTATATGGTACAACTCTGATGTTAATATGGTCATCTAAATTACAAAAAAAAAAAAAAAAATTGAATAAATATTTCAATTATTATGTGACAATAGTTTTTACTTACTAAAGGGAATGCTGTAGTGATAGTTTGAGCAGCAATTGGAGTGGTAAATAAATTGGATAAAATAATATTTTCTTCAGACACGCGGTGTTCTTTTAATACATTCACCGCTTTCACAACTGTATTACCTGTACCTAAAACAAAAAATTAATTATTTACTGTTAAGCAAAAAATATTATTTTCAGACTTACTCATTATTGGGTACATCAACAATACTTTTCTATCAGCTATATCATGAGGAAATTTAGCATACACTACACGTGCCTCGTGGGTATCTGAATCGGATTCAACCAATATTTTACCAATTCTTATTGAACGACAACAATCTCGCAATCCCTAAACATGGTTTAAGTAAAGTTAACGTTTCTCAAAATTACACGACAGTTATTTGAACAAAATTCAAAGTGTCCACGGATATAAGATGTTTAATTTCAGTGAATTCTACATTTTGAACATCACGCTGCTAATCAGTGATTTAAACCCAATCTTACTTGTTCCATTGCTTCACCGCTACGGACGATACTAACGCCACAGTTGCCTCGCTGGTACTTGGTGCCTTTGTAGTAGTTGCCGGTCGGAGTCATCACCACACAACTACCAAACGGCAACTGATTTAAGCTCTCTTCGATCACCAGCCGTATTAGCCGATCGGCATAGAATTTGAAATCTGTTCGGCTAGTGTTTCTGCAGACCGAACGTACCATTACGATTCCGAACACGCATTCAAACAGCACACACCAACTTACTTGTCCCTAAGTATGGTCTGCAGCTCACGGACCTGGTCGTTGGACCGGAGCAGCTTCAACTTGGGACCATACTCGTAAGCTGGGCAGGTAGAATTCACTTTTTCGCATTGGGCCGACATGTCTGTAGCGCACGCAACCATAAAACCGGACTAGAGTCTAGATTTGAACTTAAAAATATATATACTCGTCAGCCTAACACAATAACTCTATGAGAAGCGGTGACCAAAGAAATAATAGTTAATATTATGGTAAATGGAGAATGGAGATAGAAGATTGTGATTTGTGGTCGTTTTCAAATAGTCGTCCCACTGCTTTGATTGTCGTCTTCAGACTTCACGGAACATAACCTCAAAAACATGAAAAATATTACACCGACTACAAACGAACGGCGCCAACATTTGAAAAACATAAATATAATATTATATATAAAATAGTATGTTAAACAACGATTGATTACCTAATATAATAACAATTACACGAGTCAAGTCAAGTACACACAATCTAAACTACTAACGCAGTAGAATGGCAAGATCAAAGTATACTATTACAATACTATGTAACAGCATTTAACCAACAAAAACTTAATAATCTTCAAGGACGATCGTTAATTTATTGTTATGACTTGCAATAATTTCTATGAATTAAATATTTAAATATTAATATTAGTTAATATTATAAATAACAGACTTGATAATCATTTGATTAACAATCTGTTTTTCCCATAGGACGTATCTAAAATATACAAATAATCAATACATTTACGAAAAATGAGCATTTAAAAGAATAATACAAGACATTTTATCAAATTAACACAATACCTTGTAGTAACTAGTAACACTAAGAATAGAAAATAACATTTTGAGTATTTTCGATTGAATTGTACTAAATTTTACAGATGATAAATCACTACGTTTAGTGCCACAACTGGGTTAAACATAACTTAATAATTTTATTTTATTTAAATATTCAATTTATTTGATTTTATTCAACTTTTATAATTTAGTATTCATTTTATAATATAGATAACAAATATAAAATATAAAATATGCTGACATAACCTAATAAGCCATGTATTAAGACGCCTATTATCATTATTAATAATGTAATATTATTATAGTGTTTGTCTATGTACTTAAGTACTATATAATGTTACAGGCTTGTAGTGTAGATAGCAATTTAAAAATAACTTGATATTATAAAACAAAATAATTAAGATACAATATGTTTAATATAATATAGAATTTTGCTACTATGATTGGTTGGTTCATAGTTTAATATGTGACAGAAGTAATAGATTTGTGCGATTAGTAAAAAAAAACTTAATGTCAAAAAGTAAAATATGCTATAGAACATTTTATATCATTGAAAAAATGGCTTTACGTTTAATGACTAATGATGTAGTATTAATAGCGGTTGTCAGTTGTTGAAATTATAATAATATATTGTGCTTATTGTTAGCCATTAAGACAATATTATTACATAGTGCTAGAAAAAATAATCTGAAAAATAATAAAATATTATTTGCAAGAACATTCTTAAACATATAACACACTAATTACGTAAAGGTATATTATGTGATTATTTTAGTTTTGGAATTAAGCAAAAATATATATCAGCAAAATAAGTATATTGTATAAATTAAATTAACATTGAATACAACGATTTTAACATTTGTATAGTATAATATCATAAATAAAAATATAAATAAATAATAGTAATTATATTTATGCAAAGCGTAATTCATTAAATCCATGTTATAATAATTACCAAAATTAAATATTTGTTCAATAATTTAACATATATTTTAAACTAACAAATTTTTAAGTTGAACAGTCATGGACAAAATACGCACAGACCAAAATTAATAGATAATAATTTAAGCATTATAATAAAGATGGTATATATAGCTTACAAATACTCCTTCAGAAAATATTAAATATGATTAAATAAATAAAAAAAATTAATAAATTATTAAGTTAAAATGTAATTTAACTGAGATTTTTACTAAAAGGATATAATATGTTAAATATAAAATAACAATAATTTGTTAGAATTAAGGCAGCGTAACGGGGATTTATATTTTGTACATTTGTTTTAATTTTTATTCTTATTTAATAAATAGTATGGAGTGCATTAACATCTCACTCTTCAATTTCCTCTTCATTATCTGATATCTTATCTTGTTTAGTTTCTGGGATATCTAATACTGTATTTTTTGTGTCATCAGGATGTGGGACGGATTCTGTATTTTCTTCTGTTGTGCCATTCATTTTTACCTAAGGGTAAAAAATACATATATAAATTAATACATTACTTAAAGCCATACTTCATTTATGTTATTTTATTAAATATGTTAGAAAAATTAATAATGCATGTTAGACAAATCCAATAAGTAGGTTTAAATGTCTTAAAGCTATCATTGTTTCAGGGATTGCATTGAAATATTATTAACTTGGATGTATTCGTCTTTGGTTTGTTGTTGATTCATTGCTAAGTCCCTCTTTAGAGCAATAGTCACCACCCACTACACTGTTGCAACTAAATTCTCAGTATATTAAGTACTAACGCTAAGATGGACTCTGCAATGAGTCTAAAACTTCACAACAAATCGAAGACATGAATGCATTCGAAAAGTTATTAAGTAGGTTTAATTTGTAAAAAATAAATAGTTTTTATTTTAACACACTTATAGTTGACAAATTTATATGTAGTCGTTAATACACATTTTAATTGTACAGTTAAATATTATTCAGTTAGAGAAATCTAATTAAATAATTAATTTGCATCAAACTAACAAAAACCAGACATTAAAAATGGGTTTAAGATTAAGTGCATACTAATGACTGATCTACTTAATTAACATTAACGTTTGCATATAAAAGTGGTAACTGTTTACTAATTAAAAATGTTAATTTAAATTATTGTATAATTTAAGATATTATTTTAGTATAAACACTTTTTTTAAAATCTAATTTGTTATTTCTTACTTTCAACAAATTTAGTTTAGTACAAACATGACATTAATACTAGTATGATTACTAACATTAAAAACTAGTTATAGTTTTGTGCAGATTAAGAAGGCTTTACCGTTATGAATGAATAAAATCATAAAAAAATTAAGTTTCAAACAGATTATTGTAATATCAAACTTAATAAGTGTCTTTTAGTATTAGCTTGTCACCTGCGTGTCAAGCGATTCTTTTAAATCTTTTTCGTCTTCATCAGAATCATTACCATCAGACTTCGATTTCTCATCTTCTTCTTCGTTAGAACTGTCATTTACAGCTCTAAGGACAGTTATTAATTTATTTTTTTGCCATCACAATAAACTATTACATTCTACAACTTCATTATATTTTACTCAACTTAATACCTATTTTAAACTAACTAGTACAATTTTTCATTTTCATTTATCATTTATCATCAATATAATGACTACTCTTAGGCATTAAAATAAAATCCATTGTTCATTAAAATATGAAATGTTAATATTTACCCTTCAACTGGCTTATTTTCACCATTAGTGCTTTCTTCTTTGTGTTCTTCCTGCAATTACACACACACACACAAAATATCTTAATATAATCTTTATAATGATATGTAGAATATTCAATTCACAATAATATTTAACACTTAGTTGAATGTGTCGGGTGAAATAGACCCACCATTATATTGGTATTTTTTTATAGAAACGTAAACATTCGTATCAGGTAAAATAAAATGATTTGATAAGATAACTTGCCTAGTTTGTATGGTAACCAATAGCCAACTACGAGAAAGATGAACATTTAATGAGAATACATAGGACTTTAAAAATATAATTTTTCCAAGAGTAATTTATATAAATTTTACAAAAATTAGAAGGATCATATAGACCCGACGCAAGTAATTACGGAATACAACTAATAAATGGAATATAAATTCATACATATTATAATAAAGGATTGTATTATATAATTTACCGTTTTGTCTGAACCATTTATTTCTTTTGCCTCTGATGGTTGTTTTTTGGAAGAAATATCAAAAAACTTATCTAATTCATCCAATTCATTTGCAATGTCAAAGTCATCATAGTCCTACAAAAATAAAATAATGATAATTTGTATCATTCAAATTATATATATATATATATATTATTATTGTTATATAAATAAAATTACCAATCGAAAATCATGCAATTTTTAGCTAAAAAGCAAAATGTATTTTTTATTATAATTTAGTAGTGTCAAATTATAAACCTTCAATATTTGTCTTTATTTTATTAATCAAAATTGTTTTCAATTATTATTTAATTAAATAACATAAAGCCAACCCTAACTGTTAGGTAATGTTTTCTTAATAATATTTTGCAAAATTAACATCATGTTATCAGAATAAACACTTCATTAAATATAAAACAGATATATTGGTGTAGGTTTTAAGTATAACACCTACAACAATATTACGTAGAAAGTTCTATTTGTACTTATAAAACCGCACTTTTAACAAATATACTAATTTAATATTAATATACCTGTTGACTATTGAATAGTGTTATGCAAAAAGCTACTCAACAGTTAACACTCAATTTAATTTTTTTCATTTTGCTGTGTCTTTTTAATACTTAAACCATTTGGGTGATTTTAAAAACTCCAATACAAAACGCGGTAAAAGTTATTTTCTAGACGGTTTCAACGAAATCTTGTTTTCCTTTGAGGGATGTTCCTTTTTACATAACAGTATCCAATTATTTGTTTACTAATATTAAACTACCTTTAGTATGTAAAACATCAATAGGAGTAAAGGTGTATCATTCACTAACAAACTAGTATGCATACTATATATAGAATGTAACATCATAATAAATCATAAATAAATAATTTATTGTAGCTAATCAACTAATTAAGTTCTCAAATTCAAATATTGGCTATTACCAATTGATTACTAATACTGATAACGAAGTTACATATCATTTTTAATTGTGCTATTACTTTATCTTAATTAATATACTTATATGTAATATCAAAGAAATTGTAAATAAAACAAGATCATTATTTAGATTAAATTTATATTTTTTGTTTGTTAGCATTGTTATATTTATATGAATTGATTTTATTAGCCGTTTTCCTTAACACACACTTAATAACGGCATTCATATTTTGCTTTAAATAGTTATTACATGGAGTGAAATAGCTAAGATAAAAGTACAAAAATAATGTTCACTACTTGAAGATACTAACCCCGCAATAAACATTATTGTTGAATATTTGTGGGGGCAACGCGTTTCTCGATCCATCTTTAGTTTTACTGTTCGTTTGCATGTATGCTTTATCTTCCTCTTTGCCCGGTTCTGTAATGTCCACCAGATCGTATTCTATACTCTTGCTGTCTAAAATCATAGTTACTCTTTGTTGGCGTTTTTTCACCTGTAAAACCCAAGTAACTGAAATTAATCATTACCCATCGTCGGTATTTCGGCAGACAACAACCTACCTCTTTGTTACCGGATATGCCGGATATGTATACTTTGACAACCATTTTTTAAGCACCTGATTAACAAAACAAGAAGCGGCTAGAATACCGAAACAAGAATATTGAAATTTGAACTGTTGATTGTGCGGATGATTGAAACTAGAGTACCGTACAAGGAACGTAAAGACTTTTAACCAGATATTCAAAGAACGTTATCAGTTAGGTAGGGATAAGACACCTCACTCCATAGCCGTCAGCAGTACGACATAATATTATCATCGACAACAGCACTGTCGTTTGGTCCAATGTATATTTGTCCTAAGGTCGACTATTGTTCCCACGACTCGTGTACAGCCGCGAATTGGCAGCATCAATTATCAAATTATTTTTATCGTCCAATTAGTTTTACGTAAACATAATCGTACACAAGCTTTCACAACATTTTTTTCTATAGAGTTTTTGGCGACTTTTTTTTAAAAGTACTTCGTATATACATTTATACGCACATACCCCATGATATTATAATTCAGATCCACGATTAGATAAGAACAGATAAAAAATGATTATTATTTATGAGCTATTTCGAGTTTTAATACAATGATAACAATAATATTATTTTTGATTTTACGGAAAGTGAGAACATGGTCTAGACTCCGTCCATTCCATACCCATATTCCATTAAACAAGACGCTAATTGTAAATAGCGGTTGGTTTAGTAAATTACTATCCCATTTAAATTTACAATCCTTGATCAATTTTGGTACAAATTTATTTAAAAATTTCATAAAAGTACATGGGTGATCAATTTACCATTATGTGGTAGTGGTAACTATTGACATACTACAAAGAAATTTGTAATAGCCTAACGTGAATATAAGAATTATAACGTATAATTTATAGGCAAACTGAATATAAAAACCTGCGGTTAAAATGCAAAAAATTAGTTATTATACACTGTTGACACTTAGCGCGCATTTATTAATTATTATAAATGTACTTGGAATTTTATGCGTTAACAATTTTTATTATAAATTATATCAACAATTAAATAATAATAATAAATATGCATGCATTTTTAAATAAAAACAGTTTAATAATTGAACTCTAAACAATTGTGTAAGTTAAAGTGTTATGTATTCTAGGAAATATATTGTACATTGGTTAATTAAAATGACGATAAATTTTAAAACAAAAATTGGATTTTGTTAATCTATCACAAATATATTATATCAATATCAAGTGTCAACTCTTATTGGTACATAATTTAAACATGTAGTCCAGTTGTCACTGATTATAAATATAGTAAGGTAAATAGAATGATTGTCGATCGATACTCATCAGCTGTCACATTTAAAAAAAGTTGTTTTTCCTTATACAAAAAAAAAACACTAGGCTATGAACAACTGGAAAGATCTTGAACGAAATATATTTTGTAATTGACGGATTATTCAGTTTCTTAAATAAAATTTTTTTTCCAGTGGTGAGGATGATCCACTTACCATACTGTACAGTAACCGTAACATTGGTAGAACAATGTACTTATTGTTTTGATTAAACGTTTTAGATAAATAATGATTACATAACAATTAAACACATTTCAATTTTAATTATAACTTATAACATTAATAATTAATCTGAGGTTAATAATATAAATTTGTGAGTATATTATTTCAATGATGGTGTATAAAGTCCAACTCGTTTGTTTTACATTACTGCCACACGTGCTGCATGAATCTGAATAAAAATACAAAGGTTCTATTCTTAAAACTATTGTTAATTAATTGGTTAATTTATTACGTTGTACAACAGGGGCGCCCGCCGGTGAAAATTCAGGGGGGATTGCCTATGATTTTGTAATAGATTTTACAAATTTGGGATATTGGATATACCTTTTTTTTACTTGCAGAGAAGCTGGGGGGAGGAGTTGTTGGAAGGTTAAAAATATCAAAACTGGCATGCTTCAAACACAGCTTTATGTTTATTTAGTAAAAAAAACTAGACTACCAAGGTATTCATTATAATAATTTTGAATACAAATGAAAAACTAGTCAAAACTGTATTTTATGACTACAAGGTAATTTATTTAACGTAAATTAAATAAACTACAATTTCGTATTTTTTAATACATTTTTCTTTATGTAATTTTACAAAATTAAAAAATAACAATTATTTACCTCTACTATAAAATAGGATGAGAGGTAGAATTAATTAGCGTGGGATGAGTACCATACGTAGATAAAAATAATCAATCTAACTCTTCCTATCGTCCTCTTTCTTACATTTAACATCCTTTATTCCCATCGATCGGGGCTTAGACCGTGTAGATTTGGCATTTTTGGGCTCTAATAGCTGACATAACGTTACCAAAAGAGTTAGCCCCAGAGAGAGGTGCAGCAGGTGGCTATTTCACCACTCAGACACAGTTGCCCGCCCAGAGGAACAAAGTACAAACCGCCAGTGGCCGGGATTAGAACCAGCGACCGTGCGTTTTTACACTGCCGCCTTATCTCACTCCGCCACGCGCCTACACTCTTCCTCTTGACCTAAATTTTAAAATGTCATTACTTTAAAAGTGATTATTCAAAACTGGTTATCGACCAATTAAAAATGTTCAGCGAATTATTCGTATTTAAAAAGTTAATTAATTAAATATCTTACACTTTGCTTATTTAAGTTTCAATAGTTGATAGCGCTCTGGAAAATATTAAAAAATATAAATATTTGATAATTTTATAATATTGTAAAATTACATAAATACAAATGTTTCTAAAAAGAAGAACCACAAATTGCAATTATTATTCGAAAAAATTACTTTCTTACAAAAATGTAATAATGTATAATGTTCGTATAATGTTCCTATTTAATATACTATTGTTTTCGATATTATCAGAATAAGCAATGACGTAATAAATAATTTATGTTATTATTTATTTCACACAGAATTAATTAAAATCATATTTTCGCACTCTACTATAAAAAAATAAAAGTTACCTTAACTGTATCATGAGAATAAAATAACCTTGCTTGACTTTCCGATAAGGTTCTGAATTATATTATGTGTCTAGATGAAATATTTTTGTTTGTACCACCACATTACAGTAGTAGGTAGTAGGTACCGGTAGTGTAATACTTTTAGACATCTATTAGATTAATTATAAACTATTATTCTATAGCTAATGTTCTTGTATCGTGAAAAATAATATTTTGATTCGGTGTAATAAGTTTCTTAAATATTTTATTTGAAAAGTTTTAATAATGAATTTTTCAAAACTGAAATCGTCACCAATAATACATACACTATTCACGCTAAAGTTTCTAGTTTCCGGGCTGATAGTCAATCTTTTTCAAGGGCTGTTTTGTCTCATACTCTGGCCGCACAATAAGGATTTATTTAGAAAAATCAATTACTATCTATCGGCCTGCAATTCCTATGGTAAATAAAACTTGTACACTAGTATTACAATATTACATCATTATGGATGTATGGACAGTGTATATGAATCACATACATTACCCTAATGACTAAAATTTAGCATGTAACATAACTTAATAACCAATAGATATATTCAATCATTAAGAAAAATAAATATTTGTTATAATTAAAGGGTAAAAGCTGCAAATGATATCTTTTACTCCATCAAAATTGAAATAATTTTTAAAATAGTTATATTGTTATATTTAAAATATGGCGCGTCAAAATTTTCCGAAAAAAATTCGAATATAAGTTTCTTATATAATTCACAATACAGATTAGCTATTATCAGACCTATAATTCCATACACGGTATGTCGGTGTACCTAATATATAGGGGAAAAATTTAAATTGCTGCTTTTATTTATTTATTTATTAATACCTACTACCAATGTTATTACTATTATTCTTATTAATCTATTTTGTCTGTTTTGTTTTATGCATTTTGTTTGTATACTTTATTGTGTGATAATGTTATGAATCTGCTGTAGGCCATACGCTAAATAAATAAATATATTCACAATAGTATTTTTTTATATTATGCCTATAGAAAAACAGATTACTGGGTGAAATTAATTTTATTATGCTTATGAAGTCGATTTACAATTTTAATGACGCATATTGATGATGCTATAAAGTATCATGACGCTCACCGTTCACCAAACAATATATAATTAACCGAAAAGTACAATTTTGTTTTTAATGTAATTGTTAGGTTTTGATATAAGCTGAGTAAATTGTAACTGGTCATTTTTTTTTTAGTATGGCAAACACTAAAAATCAACACCTTCGTAGGAATTTGGGACGTTTAGTTGATACTTTTCTTTTTTTGTGCAATTTCAGTACCAGGATTATTGTTTTTAAACCTGTATTGTGATTTTTAATGATATTTTTTAAGGATTTTCTCACTATCTACAGATTTTCTACAGAAAACATATTCTTTAACATATATTTTTTCACAGATTTTGTATTTTTGTCTGACTGGTGGGCTGGCGTCGATTATTACTTCTATGTGGACAAAAATGATTTCAACAAATACTACGGAAAAGAACACGGACTATTGATTGTTAATCACACGTTCGAAATCGATTGGTTAAGTGCGTGGTGTTATCACGACCGCTCCAATATATTAGGGGTGAGATTTGAGAGCATTATAAGAACTTAGTAGAAATACTATTTTTTTTTTAAATACAACTCACTATAAGTTTTATGTTCGCCCTTCAAATCAGTAAATACCGATAAAATGATTATTATAAGTTGTAATACCTATTTTTAATTTTTCAATTATTATTTTATAATTGATTTATTACCCTCGAGCTTCAAATGCCATGGTTGACCGACTTTGTTAATAGACAATCATCATGGTTATCACCAACAACTAATTAATATAAAATAACACGAAACAGCTCAATAATAACAGCTGTAAATTGTTTTAAATTAAGGAAACTCTTTACAACAGTTTAATTATATTAAACTACACATTGAATTATTTTTATTTTCATTAGGGTTGCAAAGCATTTGCAAAAAACAGTCTCAAGTATATGCCAGTGATAGGTTGGAGTTGGTGGTTTAGCGAATATTTGTTTATACAAAGGGACTTGGTAAAAGATAAACGAACCATTGAAGTTAATCTAAAAGAATTATACGAGCAAAAAGATCCAATATGGGTAAAACAATTTAATTTGTGTTTAGTAGTTTATTTAATAATTTTGACATACTTTCTTGACAGCTGTTGCTTTATTCGGAAGGAACTAGGTTCACGGAAGAAAAAAAAGAAGCTAGCCAGACGTTCGCCCGTTCCAGAGGTTTACCTGAACTAAAACACCATTTGCTACCAAGAACAAAAGGATTCTCTTTAGGCCTTCCACACATTAGGCACAATTTGCCTGCGGTTTACAACTTCCAAGTCGCGTTTAAAGGGTATTCAGTTTGTAACATATTATATGTATAATTCGTTAGATACTATTGTACTATTCTGTATTATATTAACAACACCTTAGTAAATTACTGGAAAATCTAAAAAAATTGACACTTATGTTTTTGCCGATTATGTTCATCAACTCGAATTTCAACCCACTGTTTAAATATCATTACAAAAACATTTTTATTGCAGGGAAAAGCCGACTTTAATCAATTTGTTTAACGCTCGTAAGATTGAAGCTCATGTTTATATGGAGAGAATACCTATCGAACAAATTCCGAACGATGAAAAGGAATGCGATAAATGGATGTACACGTTATACGAGAAAAAGGTAGATTTCTTTTTTGGTATTGATTGTACCTATCGCGAATTGTGACCGACATATTTTAGATGACTTCGCAAAATGATAATAAAAAACGACAATCAATGGCTAGGTTTTCTTCAATAATATATGGTCTAATATATGGTCAATACTCAACTGACTTCATTTGTTGGTAATTTAAGAAAAGTTTAAAGACTATTGATACTTAGTGCATTCCGCTTTAGGTTTTAATTAATTTAATTATTTTGACTTATTAAAGGGTACACCTGCGTATTTTTGGTAGAAAACTCATTGAAAATATTTTTCACGGACCTATTACATTGAGTTGTACCATTAACATAATAATAATAACAATTGAAATCGTGCAAGCTAATTATTATCGTTTCAGGACAAAATGACGGACAGCTTTAACAACACGGGCGACTGGTTCAAAGAGAGTGGCGTAGAACGTGTAGAAGGGTTTAAAACAAAACCTAAATACTACTCTCTTATTAACATCATTGTTTGGCTAGTTATTATATACGTGCCCTTAACCAAGTTCGCATTTTCAGCTCTTCTAACTTTCAATATTCTTCATCTCGTGTTACTAGTAATTCTATTTTTTGGTGGTAAGTGTAAAACAACTAAAAGTATACCCAATGCAGTTTTTATTAATAAATAATGTTTTAACATAAGAGTAACCGTTTTACGTTAAACAAATTAGCATTCACAACTAATATGTGTTAAGCATGGTCATTAATTAAAAATGATTATATATTGTTGGAAATATAACCAAATTTTCTAAAAAAGCAATACGAAGCCAACATTTGAGACTTTTCTCTTACGAGTACAACAATTGCCTATACGTGCTCCTTAATAAGATGGTGTAACCTTTTTTAAAACTTATGTAGAATTTGTTTTATGTTTTACAATATTTTTAGTTTCACTTTTCTAACGTCAGGTTGCACATCAAATTAAAAGGTTCTCCAGAGTTCAAAGAACTAATCACGAGTAACTGACTGATGTTTAAGGAACAATTAAATATTTTCACTTATATAATATTAATTCATCATTCTTGAATAATATTGTTTTCTAGTATAAATGTTTTATTCGACTTTTATTTAAAATATAACCTACAAGTCACATGTTTTGTTTATAATTAGTCTAACTGCAATTAACAATTATGTATATTTATATTATAACAAATATAATAGTACAAAACTTTTTTACAGTACATACGGCTTTAGCGAAATTGAGGAGCGTCTCCGAAATTAATAAAGCGGCGTCGTCATACGGAAAGGAAAATTCGAAGAAATCAGAATAAATGGCAAAAGTCTTTTGTTTAAATTGTATTAACTATTAATGCCTAATAACTATTAAACATACGTTTTGATTATTTTAATTTTTACTATAATTAGAATTTGGAATAAGTTTATTGACGAATACTAAAATAAAATTGCACCTTTATGCAAAAATGTTAATATTACTGTACTAAATAGATACCTACTTACTATCATACATAATTTGTGATTTCTATTCTATCTGATCTGAGTTCTGACTATGACACATTTTTTACATAAACTATAAAAAACATAAATAAAATGATTGTTATAGCTTGGATTATCATATAGAATAATAGTAATTCTAACTCTCAATATGATAACTACAAGTGTCTTGAAAATTGAAAAAAAAAATAGTTATTAATATAAATATTTATGAATTAATTATTAATAATGAACTCATATTTTTTCGGCTACAATTATCGTGCTGATGGGCTGAGGGCAACTATTAAAATGTACTACACTTATGATTTATAATATCTAAAAATTAATCTATAAATTAAGACCTAGATGGTCTTAATGGATATTATCTAGATGATAATATCCAGCATTAAAACTTCTCTATTAGCAATCATAAAGTGAAATAATTAACAATAAGAAAAATATTTCAAAAATTCTCTTGAAATTGAATAGAATTTTTAGTTTACATTATAAACCAATGAGGGCAAATTGTCAATTTGCAATTGGTATATTTTTGCCTGACAACGTCAATAATATATGATATAATATAATATGTAAGGATCTGTAGTGTTTGTTAAACTAATTGTAAGTTTTAAATATTTAAAATATCAACTTGTTAAATATTCGAGTTTAATTTTTTTAAGAACACCCTAAACTTTTTAGAAGATTTTTTTAGTTACATTTAAACCGTTTAATATCCATTGGAACCAAATATACTTAAGGGTAGTTTAACAATACCGAAGCGAAATTAAACTATTTAGTTTCGGTCATAAGTTACAGAAATAAAAACTTTTAGTACTCAGAAAAAACATGTATACTAAATAATACGCAAGAAATTAAACCATTCTTTAAAAAAATATGTTACGCTGTTAACAATATAATTAATAATAATATATAAATTATACTACACTTAAAAAATGTAATACTTACAATTTAATGACTTGGCATTTGTAAATTTGTGTTGTATTACGATTTTTATATCTTTTTCCACATTTGAATGGGTGATAAATTTGAACATCAAGCAGTTTTTATTTTTTATTCCATGGCTATAGTGGAATTTTATCTATTCCATAATAGAGGGCTCTAATTATTTATTATCACATATAATAAATAAAAAGCACACTTGTTGCTGCCAGCTGGGAAGTTAAAATAATAATAATAATTGTAATATTGACTTGAAAAGTTTTAAAAATTTATAGTTGTAACATTTGCCTATTTAACGAATATTATAATTTATTTTTACCACAGAACGAAATTTTAGCGTTTTTTCGGATCTAACGATAATATAATGGACAAATTCCAAATTGCAGGGATAATTCCGTCAGTAGAAGCGCTAGATGTGTGTTTATCGATGGAGACTAAATCTGTTCCTGAAATTGTTTGTGGTTATCAAAGTTTAAATATCATACCATATGGAAAAACTGTCAAAATCCAGAAACTCGGAGCTATGAATTTTGATTTCCAAGAGAGAGTACATATGGGATTACTAAAGTATGGTGATTTTCGTGCTTTGTACCCTGATGAATATCCAGTAGCAGAAGATCCAACACTTGATTACACAGAAGACGATGAGGTAGCACCTGTAAAAGTCATTACAGATCAAGGCACTTTCAGAGTGAGCCATATCCTTTGGTTTCCCTTAACTGATGTAATTACTGGGATTTTAAAGAAACAATTTCTGTGTGGGTATAAGCTGCTGCCGATAGAAGTATATTTTGATGACAAAAATCAATGGATGTGCAAACTATTAAATTTGATTGGTAGCACTATATTAGATAGTTTAAAACCACAATAAGCTTTTTATATGAAACTTATAACTATCTCTAAAATAATAATAGTTTCTGTTATAATAAGTATTTATTTTATAATTATTGTACGCTGATAACTTTTTAATAGGTATATTTTTTTTTTATTAAATGTAAAATGTTGTCACATGATTTTATTTGTTTTTTACTATAAGTTATTAATATTACAAAATATAAATTATTCAGCCGATATGAAATAATATATTTTTTACTTAAATACCAACTGAGAAGGTAACGATATCTTTCTGAAGTGTGACTAAATTTAAGGAGTTTTCTGTGATTTAGAATATCTTTCATATAAAACTTCTATCCTACAAGATGAATTTAGTAATTAGTTATTATTTTTATCTAAAAAAAAATATGTTGTACTTATTTCATGTTTTTAATGGTACCTAACAATAAATAAATACTCAGGGTTTTGTAGACATAGTGCGACCACCAGAAAACTAAGTGTACATTAAATTTCTTATATTTTCAAACTTTTATACATACATTTTACATTTGTTCAATGCTTTAATAAAGAAAAAATATCTTTGTATAAATTACACCAGTGTCTATAGGTGAAAATTTAAAAATCTAATTTTTTTTATAGTATTTTGTATATTTATTAACTGGTCATTTTAAGAACTAGTTGTGTTGGATCAATTGGAAGTAATCTAATACTATAATAAGATTCAGTGGAAAAAATCCTATATAATTTTAGCTTTTGTTCCAAAAAAATAACTCAAAAATTGTTACTAACTTATTTGAATATTCATCGTATAGCATAATAATCGAGCGAGTAGGCCGTTTAAACTAATAGTTATTATTATTTAGATAAATGGATTTAATAAATAATGTTAATACGACATAACAATCAAATACAATATAAGTAAACAAAAATAGAATGAAAACAAAATAATACATTAAAATTTCAAAATCGAATTAAAATAATTGAACTTTAATTTAGAAAGTAGATTGTTAAAAAAATCTAAAAATATTATAATAATATATTCAGAACCGGAATGATTATTAAACATGTTTAAGAAACTTCATTTAATCATATTTTTGAACTGAAACCTAATCCAACATCAACTCAACAAATGAATCAGCTATTCTAAAGAGTACAATTTTTTTAAGAGCCTAGTTAAACAATAACGGCTTACTGATTCCTCATAATTACTCCAAGACCCTCCTCAATAGTCAATATTTGCCTATGAAAGATCTAGTAATGTCTATTAGAACACTATTTATAGATTATAGATATCATATTATAAATTCTATCTATTGAGATGTAGTTTATTTCAAAACCGTTCTAATCCTGTAAATTAAGGCTAAATTAAAAAATATGTCATTTATAAAGACCTTTGTTCAATAAATACAATATTGTGTTTTATTATTTTTATTAGTATCGCCTAAATAGTAAATACGGAATATCTAGTCAAATTTAAAGACATCTTAAATAATAAACGCAGCCAAATGGGAGTTGTTATAAAATCGTTATTTATGATTGTAAACTTATGATTAGTACGCCAAAACTATTATTTTGATTAAAACCCTATTTGTTTTACATTCCTGCCACGTGTCACGTGTGTTGCACGAACGTAAATAGAAATACAAAGGACTGATACTGAAAATAATAATTACTGTTTTTAAGATTAACGTTAATTTTTTATATTTCACCACCCGGGTTACTACAATAGGCTCAAGGCTGTTTGCTTATTACATTATATGCTAATTTACTCTAATTAAAACTCATCGTTTTAAAAATATCGAAACTAAAATGCTTCAAACGCAGCTTAATGTTTATTTTGTTAAAAAACTAAACTAGATTTTCGAAATAGTAAAATAAAAACTATAAACACTAAATAAGAATATTTCATATATTAAAATTACCTACAATCGGCTCTGTCCATACTTTCATGCATGTATGACTCATTGATACTCGAAAACTGCAATTCTTAGTATAGACTTATAGTCTCCATACATGTATGCCCCTCCAACACCATCGCATAGATACGTAGGCGGGGAGTTTCCTAGGTATAGATATAAAAATGTAATACCGAATACGTCACACTGGCCGACTAACGAGAATTACATTGTAACTCGGATGCACAATAACGTCAGGTGACCCTGAAATATAACTTGCGCAGATCGCAGTTCTTCCTTTCCCGCATTGCCTATAGAGAGCGTGTGCCAGTGCATTATAATATAAAATAAAGCTTGTGTGCCGAAATATGTGCACTCAGCGCTAGAGGACTGAAAGGATAATTACGCTATGCTCTTCAGAACATTAATCGCAAACGTTTAAATGCAATCGCATAATTGGTGCAGTGTAGTTATTCGTTTAATCAGACTTGGATAATAATTTATTGAATGCGGCTGTAGTCGGTTGTACAACGGCTGTCGGCTGGTCGATTGGCTACAACCGTCGCGGGTTCGGGCAGCCAGGTAAAAGTTGTTCGTTGTAATTTGTTTTTTTTTAATACCATCTAGTAGGTCGATGCTGTTTCCGGGTGAAAGTAAGCCATTCGCATAGCGGTACCGCAACACGGCGTTCAAAATTATTCAGATCATAGTCAGTACTACAGTACTAACGTGCACGGTCAGTCGCATATTGAATAGTAAATAGTTCTATAGTAAATGTTTATATTTTGAAAAATTCGTTAATATTACGCGACAACCCTACGTACTCGTCAGTATTTGTTTTTTTTTCAAACTTAATTCGATAGTGTTGTTATTGCGATTTGTTCGTTTTCGTCAAACGCACCGGCGTCGCATTAGACAGAATAATAATTATTCATACCGGATGACTTACGCGTCGGGGAATAAATTTGAAAATAATATAATATTATGTTGGCCGCCGACGTTAAGCAGCTATACCGTATGTGGGTTAATGGGGGAACGCCGAACGGAACGGCACGGCACGAGACGACATGCAAAATGGTGGCAGCGGCGGCGTTGTCGTCCGCGGTGCTGGGACCCTGGTACAAATCGGCGTAAGTGATGCGTCCGGGCGGTCGGTCCGAAAGTGCACGACCGCGGACAGAGAGTACCCAAAATGTCGGGCAACAGTCTGGTTTCGATAAAAACGGGGGCCCCCTGAACGTGGCCTGCGCACTGAGTCCCGCGTTGAGGCAGGTCATGATCCATAGTGGTCTGGGGCGAATCCATGACAGCCGTCCGGGGTATAATACGATGCGAGTCCTACAGCCGGCGACAAGGTACCTTACCTCACCGGTTTGCGGTGGATTTGCCCACGCTCAAAGCGCATCGAAGTGCACGTGCCTATCACTATTCACTACAATGTTATCACATCGACAGTCATTGCAGTTTTCGAACTAAATCTACCGGCAAACAGTATTAACTGCTGTGTTGAAAATATGCAATCAAAATATTCGCCGTTCAGATAGAACTGAGGGTAATAATAAGTACAGTTTATATTTTATAAATAAATAATTTGTTTTATATGAACAGAATAATGTGTATATTATTATGTACACATTACACAAAACAGATAGGTTTGAAACACCAATGTCTGTTTTACTAAAGAACATTATGTTTTTATTTTTAGTACTAAAGTTAATTTACATACAGTTAGAGCGTTTTACCTTTCAAAACGGTTTAGAATTGTTTGTGTATGGTAAATCCGTTTTAAAAATCAAAATTTTGATGTCGCTTTATATGAATGTAATAACTAACAGATATCTATTATACCAATGGTTAATGTAATTTTGGTCGTCGCTTAAGTCGCACATGTTTGCTGAGCAAATATTTATTGTGAATGAAACTATAAATATAATACTCGTTTCGATTACTTTTATAAACATATTATAACTATTAGGACGGCCTTATGTTAGTGCTAATATAATATGTATGAAAATGTAAACTAAATTGTAGATAACGTTTTTTTTTTGTATTAGGTATATATTTTTATAAAAGTAATGATTACTTTTGTTGTGAAATGTTTTACTCTGATAACAATAGTTTAATAATAAGATGAAGGCTGTTCAGTCCTAATGTCTAATCCGATTACTCTAAAAGACTTTGTTTTTCTTGTAATTAAAAAATAATAACAAAAGGATCATTCTATTTTAAATGCTCCTCTTTGCAACTGTCTTATGGAACATTTTATACTTATGAGTGAAGTCCATTACACTTTTGTTTTTTACTTACCATTTACCATTACCAACATTTTTTTTCTAGGTAAAAATTTAGTTGTATTTCAAATTTGGCAATTTGTTTAAGATGTGTAAGTGCATTTCAAAAACTTACTTTTAAGTAATTTTAGTAAAGACCAAATAAATTTTATGTTTTAGCTAAACCTGTGTATTATTCATTGAGCCAAACGACTTTTCAAGCTGCATCCGTGCCGCAAGTCAAAAGTCCATTATCTTTAACTGAATTATCTCGACAGCTACTTCCTTCGAAAATAAGCAATAAAGAAATTGATGCTGGATTTAAAAGAGTATAGTATATTTGTTGAAAAACATATTTTTTAATAAAATTTTAATTAATATGTTTTTTTTATATTTGTTGAAAAACATTCTTTTTAATACAATTTTAGTTAATGTTTTTTTTTAGACATATTGGCTTGGGGTTCTTGAAAATAAGAAAACAAAATCAACACCGAAACTTCACCATACAGGACAATCAAAACCAAAAAATCAATTGAAACGAGTGTTAGGAATAAATAGACCGCCAAAAGATGTTTTATCATACGATGATGCAATGAAATTAAATAAATTATGGTTGTCATATATGAAAACAGTAATCAATCTTGAGGATTTAGTTTCGAGAGGGTAAAATTTAATTATTTCATCCTATTTTAATATAGACATTATACATTAATTTAACATAACTAGATCGACCATGCCATGTGATTTTAGAAGTGCTGTTTACGATCTGACTATATTTAACTGTACATGATTGGAGTCTATCCATTTTCAAAACAAGTTGTTAAAAAAGTTTATGACATGGTCACTCTGATATCCGATGTATGTTTAATCCACATATCACCGCCCGGAAGAACAATGACACAACTGCAATAATTGAAATTTTATAGGAGAACCAAAAAACCAAATTATTTTCACTAAAATGTTATGGGATGTAATTTTATTGGATTAGTAACGCTTGGGAAATTATTACAATTACAGTTACGTTTTTCTATCTTATGCGTTCGCTATATCTAAACACATTGAAGCATTTAGTCCATTTTACCAAATTTTGCAGTTGTGTCATTGTTCTACCGGGGCGGCGATATTATGTAATCTGTAGTGCCCATCGTGAGATTTTCTTTTATTAAGATATTATCAACTTAATATTTAATGAAGTCATATTTTTATGTGATTAGAATTTTTTTTTTTTTATTGAAATGTATATATATATTGTTTTAGATGGAATGGTAAACCATGTGGTAAACACTGGTCAGGTCTTATGACAAGTTTGTATAAATGTGATTACCACGGTGCTCACGTTAAAGTGATAAGTTCCAGATGTTGTTCATATATTGGTATACAGGGTGTAATTATACTCGAAACTAAAAATACATTCCAAATTGTAGGACCTGATAACACACTAAAAAGTTAGTACAATATGCAATTGTTTATATATTTTTTAAATTTAATAATGTGTTCTAATTACAGCTGTTCCAAAAAATGGCTGTGTATTTGAAATTGTGTTACAAGGTTACCTTTTCCATATTTATGGACAACATTTCGTAACCAGGTCAAAAGATCGTTCAAAGAAGAAACTAAAAGACAATCTGCTGTTACAATTATGATATCTCATTACCTTGTTGACCTAATTTTTTTATAAGTTTCATTTAATGATTTTTGTTATTTTATTTTTACCGACTACCATACTATAATAAACAGAGTAGTAACAAAATCAAACGGTTAATTCATAAGAAAAGTACTTTACCATTACGGTATTCGTTGGATGTTTAAGAAATTTTACACTTTAAATCTTTATTTCATTGCCCGTTAATTGTGTATTCTACTTAGAGTTGCCAAATATTATGTTAACCAGATAATGAAAAACAAATTTAAATATTTTATTGTCGGTTGTCTTTAAATTTGCTTAACATTTGAGCATAAATGGTAGATCTAAATTTTTGATACCGTCGCCGTTGTAGAAAAAACCGTGTACACCGGTGTTCATGTCTTGAAAAAATACTGCGCCCGGCCACAACAGGTTGTGCATCACAAAATATCTGTTGAATATGATTCGTGCAGCCCAACAGTCTTTTACAAAAAATAGTAATTAAATAAATACTTAAGCTGCGACCTTTAAATTACAATAATCGCCGTACCCTTGGGGATGTCATTTTCAATGGACTCCAGCATGTCTATGGACGCATTATAGTAACATCGTAGCTTTGCTTTGCTTTCGGACCCTTTGGCTGATGGAAATTGCTCTTTCAGATGTAGAAAATTGCGTAAGTCGTCTATTTCCGAATGATCCAGACCTGCGGTTTACCTTAACTTCAGATTCTTGTATGTTGGCATCATATGACGCATTATTTATGTGCCTACTGCCGCCTACCCTTATAGCACGGCGCGTTCACTATATTTCCATTGGGGAGTTTATACAGGAAGCCCCGGAGCACCACATGCGTCTCGTTTTCAATCATGTCTACTGCAACTGCCAATCTGTCTTCCTCTTTAATCATCTTGGTCGCGTCCGAATCCCTCGAACCGGAGATTTCCTATACTCAAGGTAAAATATTGGTAATCAAAATAATAATTCTACTCAATATTCCGTTCACTATTTGCAATAGATCAATTTGGGCAAAATTAAACACTTAAGGGCAGTGTAGACCAAAACAAAAATTAGCAGGCTATTATTATTATTTTTTTTAAACCCAGCAAATATTTTTTGACGAATTAATAACAAACATTATACCAATTTTTAAAAAATATTTTATTAAGTATATAAGTTTTGTATAAAAACACATAGAGACAAGCTTTGATACATGTTAAATATATAATTAATGTTATAAAAAAAATATTGTGTTCAGATTTTTGCTTTTCACACACGATCTGTATTTTTTAATTAGCATTTCTCCGGTTTACTTTCATATTTTGTTCATCTAGCCTACATAAAACCTAGCTGGTTAAAGAGGTAGAGATAAGACCACAAAAATGAAAATGTTGATAAAACCCGTTATTATAGCCATACATAAGCATATTAACACTATTTTAAATACAATAAACAGATGTGTATTTAAATGATAAATATTTGCTGAAAAAATAGTCAAAACCGAATGGAGAAATTGCTGAAATTCTATTCTTTGTGATTTTATAGATTTTTTCGATCAGCGAGTATTGATTTTACTATCATCTCATGATGGCAACGTTGGACCTTCAAAGCCTGTTGATCTCATCTTGGACAAGTATAGTGTTCTAAACAATTATTTTGCGCTGTATTTCTATTAAGATATTTGTTAATACTGTATTTTTCAAGACTCGTAGCATATATAGTTTTTTGGGGGGGGGGGGAAACTGGATTTTGAACGCCCTACCGCTAAACTTAGTTTACTTCTTCTTTTAACCCCGCCGACTCGTGAGAATTGCTCGAGGGACAATGCGGTGGACTTATCCAATACTCGTAGATAACTTTATACCGTCATGGCGCCTTCTTCGTTTCAAACAAAGATAAGACGTCGCCGGCCCGGACTTTTTTAGACCGTCCTTCGGGAACGATTTCTTCGCCTTCTCCATAAACGTCAGCCGACATGTTCGACGGCGTGATGTCCTCTGCCATCTGTTCCGTCCACGGTTTGAATAAATTGACCATTTGCACGTGTCGCCTTTAAACAGGTCTTTCATGGTTTTCACCAGGTCAGACCCGTCCGCCGGAATCAGACTCCATTCGATGACGTTCTGGCTGAAAACATTGGCGAATAATAATAATCCTCAATAAGTACAATTCAACCGACTAATGCCATTGTACAGTTGTTCGGCATACCGAGTGCAATGGAGAACACACTCATCGGTATTAGCTTTCGGCAAAGGCCTTAAGCTTTAAAAGTCTACACAAGACAAGTAAACGTTTACCGCTCTTTACGACAATATTGAAAGGTATAATGTTTTATATTTGTTGAATATTTCTAATTATTTGTCGTGAAATATTTTAAATTGCGTAAACAACGTAGGTATAAATACGGTTGTTATTTAAAATGATTTCATCATATTTGATATTATTCCGAAGCTTCTATGTACACAGTCACCGCGGGAGACAATCATATATATATATATATTATATGATATACCTACACTGACCATTGAAAGTTTACCTGTAAAAAAACGTTTTTTTTGTTCACCGGATTGCCATAGTGGCCGTACGCTAAAAAGTAATCGTCCGACAGCGTTTGCAGACGTCCCCATAGGTAAACGGAGTTAAAATGATTTTTACTTTGCAATCTGATCAATGAATCGTACAAAACGGGTACGAGGTCTTCGTTAATCGAACAATTGGCAGTCTTTAGCATATCGACCGAAGAAAATAATTACTTTACGTCCATTTTGTTGACCAACATTTTAAAACAACACACTAATAGTGTTTATAGTTGATGTAGTAGATAAATAAAATGTAACAATAGTCAATAACCATGCCGAAAATACACAAGACCGTTGTTAACCGCGTTTTCAAGAATCTACAGTAAAAAAGTAATTACTTAAGAAAATCCAAGTACATATTTTATTTACTTTTTTATATTAAACGGTCAGAGACTACTTTGTTAGGCAACATGAGTTACATTGGTGTATTATAATTGCCTATCTAAAGTGCCGCATATCGCAGAAAAATGTTTATATCGTTGATATCTTGGATTCTTCGTAAGATGATATTTAAATTACAAAGTTACTAATCTAATATTGTCTACCTTCTGACATTGTTTTACCATTATGTAACCCATAATTCTAAACTCGGTGTATGAACCCCATTTTATTTGTGCGATTTGCAATAATTATTTAATGTGAAGTTTTAAATGATACTTGGTGTTCATTACATACAGGCCCCGTCTGTTACTAAGCATAAATTTTAACAATGTTTTTCAGGAGCTGACGTAGTTGAAAAAAAATAATATACACATAAACGTTAAAAGGATCACAACAAATAAATGAATTCTATTATTTTTTATATATATTTAAACTGGGTAACATAGAGAAAAGCAAAAAAAGTTTCATAAATAATAATAATAATAATAATAATAATAGATAATAATAAAGTATAATAAAATAAATCATTAATAAAACACGTATAACAGGGATAGCCTAATAATCAAGTTGCAACTTTACAACAACAATAAACACTATACACATAAATAATAAAAATATGATTAGATGTTGTACAAGTTAGATCAATGTTATAAATAAATTAAGTTCACAGACGGATAGATTGTGGTCTCGAATTTTGGTTCTAAGTCGTCGTGCGTACACAGACTTAATATTTGATTTATTTTGGGGGAGGGGAGGGGACAAGTTTAGTCATTATACGATTATATATAATTAGTCTTTGGGACAGTAAAGCTCACAAAAATGTTTTTTTCTTATTTTTCGGTAAATCATTTTTACCGTCTCTAAGTTAATATAATAATAATAGTAGTAATAATAATAATAATAACGTCTACGCGAATTTTTGGTATAGTGCGTTGATTTGGTTAATGAGATTAAATAAAATAAAAGCGGCCATCGCAAAATAAAAAAAAGCCTACACAGGAGATTATTATTTCAACACAACGCTAAGGCTACAATAATATCACTAAACAGCTAGAAAATAAATAATATAACGTTGGGTACAAGTTGTTGTTGTTGTTGTTGATGATGATGGTAATATTGATAAATGTATCGCGTGTCGTGCACGATCAACGGGCATGACTCTTGCAGTAAGGCCTACCTCCTTTGGCGTAGAAACTCTGGCCTTCCAAATTGGTTTTGCATTTCTGCTCGACATATCAAGTACAATATTAGTAATAATATTAGTTTATACCTAAATGGCGTCACTTACCGAACAGTTGAAACACGGGCTGTGATAGTTGTTGTTCAGGGCTTCCACCCACCGGTCACCAGCCTCGATCGGGAATCCGCAGGCGATGCACTTGGTGGTGAACAACTCGTTCCAGTCTGTAAATATTAGCGATAAACATGAGATTTTAAGAAGCTGTTTTTGCTATTGTGACATATTTTAAATAACAATTTTTTTTTTTTTTAAAGACACTCAACACGAACTTGACCGTCGAAATGTGCTCACCGTTTTCGCAGTACGGAAGACTGTCCTCCAAGAAGAACGGACTGTTGCCGAACAGTTTACCGCAGTAAGTACAGTTGAAGCATTCCGGGTGGAACTGTTTGCCGATCGCGTTCAGACAGTCGCCTTTGATCTTGTTGGAGCACTTGGAGCAAACTGGCGCCAAGTACTGTTCGAAGCAGTACTCGCAGTACAACCCGTTGTCTTCCTCCACGAATCCGATGTCTTGCAGCGGACGCCTGCATTTGTCGTTTGCGCACACAAAGTGCTCGGGACACCATATTTTTCCCAGAGCTGTGATGAACGGTCCCCTGCAATCGTACAAAGACACGTTATAGTCACGTTTAGACATAACGTCGCGCCCATGTACGGTAAACGTCTCGTATACTATCTACAACGAATTTCTGTACATAATATACCTATGTTGTTTCGAATAGCCTTTTCTGTTTAATCTTAAATAAAAAAAACTCATAATGACTTGTATGACAAGTGCCCTCCCTTCTCTTTCCTCTTCTTGACACGGCCTATAGTAGATAGCATACGAGATTAGTGGTTTTGTGAGTACAGCATCACACGTGCAATAACAAGCGTCCCGCCTGTTTATGTAATGTACTTATCGAGGCTGGCCTGATACAAACCTGCTAATACGGGTATGACAACAATTACACTCGGGGTTCGGTACGATTTTTGGGATAAAATGGCCGTCCGTAGCGTCTTCGTTGTCGCTGCCGCCGCAGCCTTTGCCGTTTAACTTGAGTTTTTCGATTCCTAAACGGCGAACGTTAAAAAACAAGCGTGTTAAGCGAAACAAACACAGTTGCAAATGGTGTGAGTTAAGGTGTTCAAACAAACAAAAACGTGTATTAAAATTAAAAAAAACAACAACAATGATTTACTCTCGCTAACAGTAATAAGTGCTAAGAGGTAAAACGTGGATCGAGAGAAAGCTAAAACAAAATAAAAACTTTAGCACAATGGCTAGAAGAAATTCAACACAATACGTCTTACCTTCTGTCCTCTGGATACAGAAATGCTTATTATTATGCAAAAAATAAAAAACGCACACTCAAAACACACATTATGTCAGTTTTTTTCTTCTGTTACCTTATGTACAGATTGCAGTTTCCGCACAACGGTACCCTAGCGCCGGGTGTCAGATTCTGCGGGTTGAGCACACCTCGGCCTCTTCTGGGCGCAGTCAGGCCGGCAGAACCGGTTGATCTCGTTGATGGTTGTCCGCCACCTAGATCGGGTACGGGTATCGGTTTTGGGTTCAAACACTTGGGTTGTTGTTTTTTGGTGAAACAAGTTAATTTTTTCGACAACAAAGCGGCGGGTAAAGACGACTTAGGCATAGGAAGGACCGTGGTAAGAGGATGAGGATTAGGAGGAGTAGGAGTGTTGAGCGAAGAGGTCACGACCGGTTCTGCTGAGGCGGATTTGATCGGAGGATGAGCGGATGAAGCAGAAGATAAAGACCTTATCGGGGGAAAAGTCACTTGGCTCGTTTCTTCCATCGACTTCGCGGTCGCGTCTGAAGTGTTAGTGTTTTTGGGTTTATTGGGAGAAATGGCATCGCCACCCACCAACGATGCCGGCTCATAACCCAACGCGGGGGTTACCTTGGCGTGCACGTTAGACTCGCGTCTCAAGAATTCGGTGTTTTTAATGGACGGCTTGGGCGAGCACGCGTTTTCCTTGGCTTTGTGCGGGTTTTCGGGTATGCACCGCTGATACGACGGTATGTCGGAAGGTTCGTGCAGGCCGGTAGCGGTAAACGGGTGTCTCATCATGGCGGGTTGAGGCTGTTCTTCAACAACGTCCGACGAGATGTCTTTTTCTTCTTGTTTAGGACATTCGTCGAAAGTCAGCTCTACGTCGCCGCACGGACCGGAATCGACGCGGTCGAAATCGCCGGCCGCCGTCGCTATTTTGAGTTCGTCCGAGACTGGCGGAAAAGACTTCAGGCCTAGACTGGCTATTTGTTCCTCCTCCGAATCGATGGCCGACACCGGCGAATACAACAAGGACCGCGACTTGAGCAGTAAACACGACGATTGGGCTTTGTTGTTGTAACCGTGCACGTATTTAACCGGATTGTTGCCCACCGGTCGCGCCGATCCCAGTTTCGATTCGGGCAGATGGTAACATCGCTCGGGAGCCACGGCCAGAGCGTCGGCCATCGTCATGGGTTTTTTTTCTTCCTTGACGGGCGCCGGCGGCGGCTCAAACTGAGCGGCGTCCACGAACGACGGCAGAGGGGAATAACTACGTTCCGGCGCCGTCTTTAACGCGGCCACCATGGGAGACTCCGACCTGTCGGCGTTGAGCTCGACTACGAGTTTAGGCTGCGGCGTGGGTTCGACCGCCGGCACCGGTTCTATTTCTTCGGCGGGTTCGGTAGGTGGACTGAACGGGTACGCGCCTTCTTCTCGCAATTCCGCACACTCGACTGCGCATTGTGACACCGCGCTTTCCACGCCGTGTCGTAGGTGATCGAACACTTCGGCGGCGTTAAATTTGTTCGCCGCCGCATTTTCTTGTGGATTCTGCTCGGAAATAGTCGAGTCGACAGTGACTGAAAACGTATAAGATGTGATTTCCGGTTTTGGTTGCGGGGTGGACGTCCTGGACCGTACCGCTGCCAAGTATTCCGATGGAATTTCAGGGGGGAACACGACTAGGTGCGTCGGCGAAATGGCTCTGGCGCAGTTATTTGGCGGCAAAAGCGACTGGACCTCGCGCGGTATTTCCTCTATAAACGTCAACTCATGATATCCAGGCGCCGGCGATCGTGGCCTGCCTTCTTTGATGGCTTCCATTAACATTTGAGTGCCAATGGACTCGCTCAGTGCCTGTTTGCTTTGAATCGCGGTGGAGGATGACACTTGCGATGGTCGTCCGACTTGGCGGTCCGTCGTCGTCGGATTAGATACGACGGGACAAAAAGCAGAACCGGTCGATGTCGTTTTGGGTTTCAGGAAAGGTAATCGAGGTTTGGGATTGTTAGCGAATTTGGAATCATCTACAGTTAATGAGTTAACAAAGGCGGTACACGAATAAAACAAAATCGCCATTAATGATTACGTTCTACTAAAAGTTAATACTAATCTACGTTTGCTTTCAATAGACTACACCAAATACGATAATATTTTTCAGTACTTGTGTTTTTTTACAAGTTAAAACCTACTATATCCTATCCCAAACGATTATGGTTTGCGTATTGTTGGTCTAATACTGCCGATATGAAAAATGCACACGTATTATTATTATTATTATTGTTAAATTTGACGAAAGAAGAGATAACGAGTAGTCACGGTTATGTTCGCGTCGGATACTCCCCGGGGAATTGGGACGCAATAGAGGATTTTCGGGATGTCGGGATGGACGAGCTGTTGGAGAAGAAAGGTACGGCTTTAGCCAGTTTTATGGTGCCGAGATCCGCGTGCATTGGCTTGGACGACGGTTCGTACGCCGGTATTGGCTTTTCTTTTACGCCGACATCTACTGTTGTAGCGGATTTGGGTGTGAACGCGGATAGCTTGTCCTTTATGCCCGGCCCGAGGGATTTCTTGACGGGCGTGTACTTTTCGGGGGCGACCATCGCACAGTCGTCTTGACTCGGTTGGCGCGACAACGACGCGGTCGAAGACGGCGGACTGTAGGGTGCGGGTTGCTCTCCGACAAACGGAAAAGGTATGGGTTCGGAGGCTACTTGGGGTTTTTGGATAACAGCGAACTGGCAGTCGAAGCGGCGGAAGGACGTTTGCCCGGCGGGCGGGAACCACTTGGGAGGTTCTGGCGGATAGTTGGATTTCAAAAAAGGTGTGGGCACCGCCTTGTCGTTGTATGGTTCGTACTCGTTCTGTAACGGGTTTTTATTAACGTCGGGCTTGGCTTCGTCCCAGTCGGGTATCAAGTCGGTGGGGTCCACGAACGTCGGCAGCGGCGAATAAGTCTTCTCGGGCGCGATCTTCAGGGCCGCCACAAACGGCGATTCCGGTCTTTCCTGTCGGTCCACGTAATCGTTATCGTCGGGCATAGGCACCCAAGGCTTGGGTTTTATTACAGGTTCCGTGACCGACACCGGCGTGAACGGTCGGTCCGGAGCCACTTCCATGGCCGTCGCTATGGGACCCTTGTAACCGTGATACTTGGGCAGATATTTTAGTTCGAACGGTGGCGACAACGGACGGTCGGCAGGGGACGGGACGCCTTTGATGTCGTACGAGACGGACGAGTTCTCCGACCGAGAAGACTCGGTGTCGGCCGACGTTAGGTCCTGGCCTTTGTTGTTGGGCACGGGCGAATGAGGCCTGCCCTCAGCCGCCGACTCCAGCAGCCTTTGCGTGGTGTCCACAGAGTCGTTGGCCGTTCGACGCTTGAACCCGTCCAAGGTGCGATACACTTCTAGAGAGCACAGGGACAACCGTTTGTCCAACGGATAGGAGGACGTGACGGGAGAAAACGCAGAACCGGTCGACGGTTTTGGTTTTAGGAAAGGTAACTTTGGGCTACTGTTAGTCGTGGTAATGTAGTTAGTCCGGTCTATTGGGTAAGCGACAGTTAAAAGGCGAAAAACAAATCGTAATTAATCGTTTTTTTTTTTTAATAGATCACGACACTTAATAGATGTATAAAAGCTTGAACGATGGTCTATGGCCTTAGCCTCTAACGCTATTCTAGACTATTTCATTGGCTATGTTTATAATTAGTTCTATAAAATATTATTCTCGGAGTTATAATATTGTCAAACTAGCCTAGCTGACTATAATACGCCTTAAGGGTTTAATTATGTTCTGACTTTGACATTAAGATATTAAAAAAAAAATTAATTTAATCCAAACGAAAACGGCCACTTAAAAAAAAAAAACAAAAAAAGCTTTAGAAAACCATAAAACAAAACAGAAAGCCGTGTAGGGATTTGTACAGGCAATTCAAAATGAAAACCCGACCGAAAAAGGACGCGGGTTGGAGTTGAACGTTTTTATTTCTGAAAAGCGAAAAAATACTTGATAAATCTTACCGGTATATATATTTCTTTATTGGCGCTAAAATCGATTGCAATACATTAAATTTAAGACAGTTGTTTTGTTTTTTTATTTAACCGTTTTTGTCTGTTCATTGTTTGTGTGAACTATCGAGATTCTGTTTTATACGCTTTCTTCAAGTCAGAATATAATTTAGTAATATAAATTATTTATTAAGAACCGTTCGTCCGTAACCGACTATTTAGCTGGGGGAAAAAATAGACCAACATTCTTTTTTTTTAAGTGCTTATACGTATCTACTACGGACAACGATTCCAAATATTTTGGCCGTTCAAGCAAAATCAAAAGCTTTATAATTGTCAATCAATCAATGATTACCTTTCGAGAACGGATTTGCTTTCAACAGTGACTGGGAATTATACCCTATACAAAAACGTTTATTCTTTATTGTTTTTTGTCTATTAAAATGTCAACGTCAATTCGGCTATTAGTAATAGTGCTCCAATTTGTATTCTTTATCGTCGTAATAGTAAAATCACAATCATTTTCGATAAAAAAAACATAAGTTGCAGAGTGTTTTATGACGCGATGTGTGTTTTGATGTGTACCACTTTTTAACTATGCACATTTATTATAATTGAACTATTTCTTCCCGTTACACCCCTAACACCACGTCAACAAAGTTATAAATAGTAAATGAACTATTGATTTGTATACCACTTCAATCGATTCTATTCATATAGTTAAACAGCAAAAATTGTCTAATGAGTTACTAAAATACAGGAACTCACCCGTTGTCACTTGATTGTATCCGCTGTTGTAATTTGAAAGCGCTGGAGTCGGTTTTGGTGCCTCGTATGGTCTATTAATTGTCGGCACAATGTTCGGTTGGGGCTAAAAAGAAAAATTATTTGAAATCATCATCCTTATTATACACGTTCTTATTTTATATTATAATAATAATATAGAATATAACACGTACATTTTGTATTAAAATCAAAAATATACAACTTACTAGGTTAGATATAAATCTGTACCTTAGGTGTAGAAGGGGCAATAATGTAATTTTTCAGAAATATTAAGTTAAACCACAAAACATTTAACTTTTGTACATTTTGGTAAACTTTTCACTTAAAAGGCTTTGTGTGAAATTTTGTACCAAACTCTTCATATATTTTTCAAATTTTGTCCTAAGAGTGCCAAATTTCCCCCAAATGTAAAGGGTTTTATAGCTTAAATATTTTGTGGTCTAATTAACTTTTTCTAAAAATGTATATTGTCCCTTTTAGATCCAAAGTACAGAAATTAGAAACACATGAGTATATTAAAAATCGTAAAGAGTTCTGTATTATCCACTTCATTACTGAACTTGCAGTTCTTATCATTATTTTACGAAAGCTAAGAAACCAACTATTAGAAAGCCTTGCATACACAGCTTCAGGCTGCGATATTCTTCATTGCCTGAATACAGCTGAGCAGCCTGAAGATGAAAAATACAAGTCTTGCTTATATGATCACATAGTAATATCGGTGTTTTATAGTGATAATACTAGTTGTATTTGTACGCAAATAAAATTAATGAAGCTTTAAATCAACAACATGGTTTAATTAATTATATAACTTTTACTTAGATTTAAAAAAACATTCACAAATAACATGTAAACATGTAACATTAATAGTTGTTAAATAGTATTATATGTTTATTAGTTTTTTATTTTAGCTCGGACCTAGACATTGTTTTTGACATAAACAACATTGTTTAAATAAAAAGGCTTAGTCGGACAACTCATATTTTTAGTTTCAAAATTGTATTAGGCTGGTTGACATTAATTAATTCTTTTTTCTGATTTAGATTTGTTAATTTTGCATTTTTAAGCTTTTCTCTAAAACTTTAATCTACCTGAGGTCTCGATGCTTTTGGGGCGTTTACATGGCCAGGAGACTTTGGAGCCTATATAGTAAACACAAGGTTCTAAATTTAGTAAATTCCTAATTTAAATGTATTTATAACCACGTTTATAACCAAGTACGATTTCAGAATCGTTCTTACTAAAAAAAAAAGTAGTTCTAAGAATAATTCTTAAATAACCTTTATCGTACTCCTAATAACCTAAATAGGGAGTTTAAAGATGATAAAATATACTTTAACATGACAATATTTTATAAGCAAAATTTGTTTATAAAATTTTTTTTGGAGTTTGTAAGAGTAGAGCCTATGTAGTAATACTTCAGATTTGTCAATTTACTTTTTACTTACATGGAATGGTATTGGTGACAAAGTGCTTGGCTGAGGCGATTGCACGCCCAGAGGTTTGTTGGGTATGATGTTGAATGAATTCATAGGCGGATGTGAGCCACTAGAGTAAAAATAGGTAAAATTATATAAGTTTTAACATTATTATATCATTTGAAAATAAAGAATTAATTTTCATAACCTAACATTTTTGTTTAATTTTTTCATAATGGCGTTTTGCATTTTATTTTATACAACGATCGTTTTCAGTTTTGACAAGACATTAGGTGTCATAAACAGGAAAACATGATTTTTACTCTTTTATAAAATAAAATAAAATAAAAAGTAGGTAGTGTACTGCCACTACTTTTATAAAATTAATTTCACCGAAGCATTATTATATTTAATAATTATAATGACATAATAATTATAATTATAATTTGGAATTTCTAGAATCGAGTTATTTGTTTCTTTAATGATAGAACCGAGAACCGTTCGTTTAAAAAACCATACAAATGTCCAAAAGGGACATGATTCAAGCACCATATTATAGAATGCAGGATTTAAATGAATTGTGTAAAATTAAAATTATCGACTTACGGAGACACCGTTACTGGATCCAAATTCGGGGCCGGTGGGTTTTGCTTGGCCACCATCTTGGCGTGAATGTCACAGTACAACTTGTTGTTAATGTTGTAGTAACCCACGTTTTTCAGCGACGATCCACAGGTAGCGCACTTGAAGCATTCCACGTGCAGACTCTTTTCCTTGATGCGAACGAATACGCCACTAAACCGGACCGAATAAGCTCACATTATACAAATACTCAAGTTTAAGTAATTTTGCAAAAATACAAATTCAGTAGCAATGTTAGTAATGCGTGCGGTTTTAGTTAGTCAGAGCGTTTAGCGAATATGAGGTTGGACAAGAAGACAATAACCGTTCCTAAAAGTCGATGGCAAACGGAGGGTATTTCAAGTTCAAACTACCGAACTCACATGATGTCTTTTCGGCATTCACTGCATTCCACTATCGGTTGAGTGCTGTCCACGTGTTTGTCCATCTCTTTTAGCGGAGAACCCAAGTAAGGGTCCCGTTGTTCCGGCATATGCACGGGCATCTGTGGTCTGGGCGATGTGGCACGGCCGCCTATCGCGTGACTCGCCGCAGAGAAGTAAGCAAATTTCTCATGAAGATCTGATAGAAAACCAAACGACAACAACCTTATTCGCAAGAAAGCCGTAGAATATGCGTCGACGATGCAACGCTGTTTAGCTCGCGGCATAATAGCATTATAGCAAAATAGCTCCTGGATGATTAACCATACACTATGGATTGTATTGCCCCCATCACCTACATTGTTCGCATCCCCCGTAAGCAGAAATATACACAAGCATCAAGCACGATTAAATCGATTGCAATTTGCAGCGTGAGCCAAAAACTTACACGATGAGTCTCTCGCAATCCGCGCAAATGTTTTGATTGGAAGAGCTTTGAGGAGCTTTCGGTTCGGGAGCGTTCACGTGGCGCATACCTCCGATTTTGGATACCGAGTCGATCACATGGCTGTGATTGACTTCTACACATTTTAATATCCAACATAATGTATTTGATAAATATGGATAATAATGAGCTAACGCGTTTTCGTTGGCATGATATGACTACAAATTACTAGGGTACTCGTCTCGTACGTTTATATCTAATCGATTTCTAGAGAAATGATAAATCTCAAGTAAAAATTAATATTGCCATAATAAAACGTTTAAATTAACTAAAATTTGACGGTAGGGAACATTACGAGACGAGTATTAGTTCTAGACACATCCATTTATTATGTACACAGAGTTATTCAAATTTCATATTACAACGTCATGTTACTTGTACATGAAATATGAATAACCTGTACATAAACGCATAAGAAATAACGCTGGTCTTACCCGATTCACTGTGGTGATCCTTGGGCTCTTTGTCTGCTTCTTGTACCATTTTGAAAACTTCGCTGTTGTTGGCCTCGTAGTTCTTTTCGTTTTTTTTGAAGTTCACACTGAAAACGCATACCGCGGACACTTTTAGGTATAGATACAGAAAACAGCGAACTTCGATGATTTTTGCTTACCCTATCACACCACCGGCCAGCACTTCAGCTTGGGCCGTCAGCGTTTCGGCGATATTTTGCTCGCTATAAATGCCCACAGGAGTATTGTACTGTTTGTTGACAATGGCCTTTACTGTTTCGTTACCGTATCCGCTACCGTTGACCTGTAAATCACGATCATTGATCAATATTGGTCTATGTAAACAACAGAGTTGGAAAAAAATCCCAAACCTAACGGTTTTTTTTTGTTTGTTTTAACTCAATAAATAAATGTTTGACACGAAAATGGCTACTAAAGGGTTTTATTGAATTTATGTACATATTATACTCAATACAACATAATGGGTCGGTTTTATAAACGAGTGTATTTCCGAATGTGTTAAACGACTAAATAACAATTTACTTTGGGCGATTGGGTTCCGGTGAACGCCCTCGGAACTGAATTGTGACCGGAACCGAAAGCTGGTGACTGCGGAGGTCCGACTCGGGCTAGCGACGTCTTGGTGACTAGTTGAGGAGATTGTGACAGACGGTTGGGCACCGGACTCGGTCCAATAGGCGTCACGGAAGGTTTCCACGTGCTAGCACCACCCCTGTAACATAATTAGTTGAGCCGATTCGAACAACTTTTGATATTTTTAAAAAATATTTTAGAAATTTAAAAGTAGTTTTCATCAAGCAGTGATTGACATGGTTGACTTCATGCTTTAGTTCCGAGCAAATATCACATCTTACCCGATAACTAAAAAATACAATTTTTTCCAAAATCTTGTTTTCCAGAATCGGACGATCACTTTACTCGTACAAAGAAATGTATTTTTAACTTTTATTTTTGTAAAATAATTTTGTTTTTAATGAGATTTTTGCTGGGGACTTTATGCGGACTCTTGACTTCTGTTTCTGAACTACATTTCAGACTATGTGATTCAGAGTATACTACACAGTACTCTCTAGAACATAGTACAAGACCCTTTCAACACGTGAATGAGACAGATAACAGATTTATGTATAAAAAGTTTTAACAGTGTTAATACACCGTCGCGTCGGTCAAATTAGCATTTAGTGATTTATAGAAAACGCACATTATAATGTTGTCACGCTTAATTATTACACACAGCGAACCGGTAATAGCGGTAAACATTATACTTAATAATATTTTTTTAATAATAATGTAGAAGATGTTTGTTTTGTCAAAGAGCTTGTCAATGCATACGATGAAATTTGAATAGTAAAACCCCGGTTAAAAAGTTGATTTGGCCGTTCTTTTTATACCAAGCGTACCTACTAATGTGATGTATTAGTTCACAAATTAAAAACGCTCTTATATTTAGTTGTATAAATCAGTCGCTCTTGGCAGCTATCCGATGTAACGAAATTCAACGCGTCCGGGACGTGTCAAATGAAATCGTTTGTTCGTCTATGACACGTAACCGACGGTGCGTTTTGCTTCCTAACAGAAATAGGATTGTCAAAAGGCGTTCATTGGAATACAACGCAAATAACCCCTGGATTTTAACCAACCGGAAATCACTAGTATATATTTATTTTTATTTTTTTCTTCATTTTTTATGGGTTCAAAACTTAACGAACTATGAAATGGTTTATAATATAATATTATAATACACCTGCACCCGCGCTCTAATTTGTGTCGAAATATATTATAACCGTGTATACCAAAGCGGTCGAACAGAAATGAGAGTAAACTTTTTTCAAGTCACACCGTCAAAATCCTCATCGAAATATACGTTTCGAAATTATTAAAACAGTAAAAATTCACTATAATATTATAAGTTGAGGCGCATGGGGCTAGAACAGTAGTTTAACCCGCAAACGGTCTGCGAAAATATTTTGCTAATTAGTCATTGGATACGATTTACAACTAACGGAGTTTTAATAGATAATAACCGTTAACTAAATAATTTTTACCGTTGAACAGTAATCTCGAATGCGTTCCCGGCTCTAAGGATGACGTCCTGGGCATCCTTGTGCTTCACGTCATACACGTCCTGGTTATTGACCCTGACCAAAGCGTCGCCTACCTGGAGACCGGCTTGTTCGGCCAAACTGCCAAAGTTCACCTGAAACAAAAAAAAAACAACGGGTTGTTAACACAACGTACATAAACTGTTCGCCGAGATGGGGAAATAATAATTATAATATCACGGCGATAGTCGTAATTAAAGAGACAGACAAGTAGAGTAAACAGAGATACCCATGACTGCCGGTGTATCTAATCGAGCAAAACTCTTTAACATGGTATACACAACAATGATTGGACGACGTTAACGCGAGCACTTGACATTAAAAGTTGTTTCGTGACCCCTGTCTACTCTATGGTCTATTACGGAACCGAATTATAATTTGATTTCACTTCAAAATTAAGAACAGAAAATAAGTGTTGATTCCAAGAAAACGCATTAACACCGACTCACGTTATGGTTGGGTTCAAACTACAATTAAAATAAAACTGTTTGTATAAATTATAATGCAGTATAACTGAGAAATTAAAATGAAATGAATAAGTCATCAAAAGCGTCTAAATGGTGTTTAATTCGTGACTTTGATAATATAGTGTTTTATTTTGTGATATGCTCATAATTTCGAATATTCTGATCAGCATTTGTATCGTCCAGAAAGGATATTTGATTAAAAATGTAAATCTCAAATCTCTCTATTTCATCATTATACTAAACCGTATTCTTTTCATTCTATGTAGTTCGCACCTTGAAACTAATTAATTGTGATAATTAACCATCAAAAGTACAATACACATCAAAACCGGTGTTGATGAGTTGCGGCCCAATCCCTAAATCAATTACGAGTTGCGGGCCGGGTTTATGAGAGGGACGTATGAGTTGCGGCCACATAATAATTACCACTTTATACACATTACACCACTATTTTGTGTCTTAACTATCAATTAATAATTTGGAATATCCGTATTTTCTTTTTTGGCATTTTATTTTACTACACGCTTTCCTGTGCGCCCTATTTAGATTTCGATCAAGATAATGTCACCTGCGTTACTTAAGTGCAATAAAATGTTCTCACATGGTATCGCTCTAAGTTATGTCCTTGATCAGTGCACGCCGACAAAAAAATTGTTACTAAAACAAAAATTGTATACGCGAAAATACGTTTGACAAAGTATATAATCTACCAGCTTATTCGATTAATCAAGTATAGTGACAAGATATTGTTTTTATTTTATTTCTATCAAAAATTAAAAATGACATCGTATCAGTTTTTTTAATTTATTCTACAAGTAAAATATTGTACAAAAATATAGTCGAGGATGACTAAAAAGATTTATTTTTAACGCTCTAAGTGAAACTGCTAATAAAGTTAAAACTAATAAACTTAAAACTAAGGATTTTCGCGGAAATGAATTTAAATTCACAGATTATTCATTTAATTGAAAAAAAGAAACAATCATAAAGCTTACAAATTAGATATAACAATATGTGACAATATTATGTCGATACGTTTGACTAATTTATAAATATAATGTTTAATATACCTACTCATACACACGCATACTGTGAAGTTGTACACAATAGTTTATCGACCTTTCATAGGTGTAATATTACACATATTTCTAAATACTAGTAACCATGAGAGTAGTCTAATACCGCGGTAACAAATATCATAATTAATAAATCACATAGGTAGGTGTGACTTATAAGTGTGATTCGATTTAATTTAAACGATAAATTACTATTAGGAATGTGAAACTATACACATAATTTACATACATACGTCTCCGATTTGTAGATTTAAAACTCGCGCGCATATCTAAACAACACAATATCGTTATCATTTTTTAAAATATATCAGTTTTACAATATTCTTGCTTGGCGGTATCATTTAAAAATATTTTAGAACTGCAATAGACAACGGAAAGTGCATATATTATAGACCCCACGCATTTCCTGGCACGAAGATTAACGACCGGTTGTATGTGGCCTGGAAATAAATAGACAAAAATATGCGTACGTCTGCAATATATGTACATGAATATGTGAATATACTATGTATGTATGTTTATACTGGAACATATATCATAATTATTAAAGTGTAAACTCCAGTGTGGTCGACGGGGAAATCAATTATTTTCTAAACGTTCCATTGATAATGTTCGAAAATCTTCATTCTATATATGCGAGAGCTTAAAACATAAATTTGATGGTGGTTCAACAATAATAATAATAACGTTATTACGTGGAGTTCGGGCACACTTGACATTAATTAAAATTATATTGTATATTATATTATGCCTGTAGTACAATAGATTATTTATGTGAAATACAAGTCGTTCAATAATAACGCGCGTAGCTTTATAATATATATTTTTAAAACGAATATCCTAGTATAACAGTTTAATAATAATTATTTAATCGTGACGGGTCTAGAACGCCCGAAGTCATCGTACAATATTAAAAATATCAAACGTCACGTTTCATCCTCATGTTTAACGATATACTAAAATATCCGTGTATCTATGCCATTGATATGGAATTTAACATTTTTTTTCCAACACTTATGTCACCTCCATACAATGTTTAAAACAATATATAAAATAATAGTACCTTGTTTTCTCACGTTAATAACTTGGGATTTTTTTTCTTTTAATTGTCCATACAAATGTCGAATAATTTATTTGTGTGTTTGTAGATTTAATGAGGTGCATTTATGAATAAGAAAGTTTCTACATTTTGATTAAGTTACCGATAAAGTTAAATTGGCTTAAACCCTAGTCGAAAGGAGTCACTGCTCTGTTATAACTTATAACACTACAAATTTAGGGACATCTCGCAGTCGCACGAGACGCGTTTATTGGACAATTATAAATAATACACGTTTGAATAATGCGTTTTGAGACAGCGAACCGTCGTAAAAGAATAGTTTGTAAACATCATTGTTAATGGCTCGTACAGAATTGTGTGTGCCAACAACCAAAGCGGTATAAAATAAAGTGATTTGAGGAGCGTTTAAATAAAAAAGTAACTTCCAGTAAACTGGGAGGTTGCAATAAATAAATCGGTGGTCTACTGACTATGATTTATTGACTCAAACAAGACCAGCGTTAATGAAGGTTCGTCATCATGATAACGGCTGAAACTAGTAGACGGTACGTAAAACCGCAATGGACCTCGTAGAAATTAAAAGAAAACCGACGAGGTTGAATGAAAAATTATAAATAGTCTACCGTCTAGGGAAATGTGTTGACCGTCGGCGGTAATGTATATTGGAAGTTGTTAAAAAAAAAATCATAACATGTAGAGATTTCGACTGTGCTCTTTTGGTCCGTACACGGAAAACAAAATAAAATATGAAATAAGAAGAATAACATTATTAGTTGGAAAAGTGTGGAGAAAAATAAGAAAATTTACAAGGGTAGCCAACCCAACTTGTATGAGATAAGGTGAAAATACAAAATCTGTCTATTGGATAAAAATGTATTGCCTATGAAGACAACAAAACACAATATTATAAAATCAATTTAGAATCAAAGCTAAAATTATAATAAAAATGAATATCATGCGTAGGTTCTTTTATTACCGACTTTATATGCATTAAACTGATGTAAGAAGAAGAGTTTCTCAGAAGTACCAAGTATAATAATATGTATTTACAAAAAGAATTATGATATCCCCTGATAAAGAACGACGTTATAATTGTAAAAAAAAAAGGTATGCCGTCTCGTTATCGCTAGATTTAATTTTTTCTCCGTAAAAATCCTTTAGAGTTGCCGAGGAAACAATGCGTAACATTTTTTAATAATTAAGTCGGCTGAGAAATATGTAGTCTACGTCTGCGTGTAGGTATGAAGTATGACGTTAGCAGCAACGGTACGACGCTCCGAAACGTTCATGGTTCACATGATTTTGGTACTATTTAATTTCAATTAATATTAATATTAATAAAAACAATTTAAAAGACGTAAAAAGAAATAACACTACAGTGAACACATTTTCACATAAAAAAACATTTCTAATTACCGAATGATTTGAATTTTTGGAAGTATATAAGTAGCATACCGCATTAAGTGCAAAATAAGCAAAAGTCCAATATATCTTAAACACAAAGCTAAATTCAAGTAGTAACTAATTATTATAATTAATATTTTCTGTAGACAATAAAATTGGACATATTTTATACTTGGTCTAAAAAATTTCCCATGTGTCTAATTAAATTTGAACGACGTGCTCGCTGTGTAAAACGAAAATCCCATATTGTTCCAACGTTTGTAGTTCTAGGTAATTAAACGTATATTGTTCTTGTATTACAATAATGAGTTTGGGTACACCCAGAATATTCGTCGTTGTGTTTTTGTATTGTTATTATTTTCGGCTTATACGGTTTGTTCTGAAAAACAAAAAAATGTCTATACTCCGTCAATATGTCGTACCGAACGTTATAGGTATTTTTTTTCATATTATGTGTAACAATAAAAATATCCATGTAATACTTTATTATAATAATATTTTAATTTCAAAATACTACAATAAGTTTTAAAATTAAATTTAATCCTTAATTTTTCTAATGTCTTTATTTTTTTCTCAGATCATTATTATTATTATTAAGTTTGTGTACAGGCACGTTGACCTCAGTCAAACCACAGAAGAAAAGTCTCTCTTGACAGTGTTTCAGTGTACTTTACAATATTTTTCATTTGAAATATTGTTGTACTCGTTAAAAAAAAACATTAGCTTCACTTATCATAAAAAGAGAAATAATATAAAATGTATAAGTAATTTATAGTCGAGCATTGTTTATTTATAAATGTTTTACACTTAAACACAGGACATCATGTTATATATTATGCTTAGGTTTAATCGAGTTTTACATTTTAACCATTTAAAAACAACGAGTTTGATACAAATTGTCCACTGTGATTTTACATGTCCATGTTAATTTCATATTTGTAAACACAATGACTAATAGGCAATAAGCTAATAACGATAACAGAAACATTTTTTCTATACTAGGTATTGGGTAATTGTTTTTTTTTTTTTACAGAAACGTTTTGTGAATGGAACAAATTCGCATACCGAGAAAGAACGTGTAATAATTC